CTCACCATCTACATTTCTGAAAAAAAAATGGTTGTGAAAGCAGCTCTTCTTCATACCTTCCTTATGTTGTTTCAACCAGTATGGAAATTTTAAATTGAAATCAATGACATCTACTGGTTGAATTCTAGGAAAAGTTCTCTCAAAACGGTATTATGAAACTGTGTGAAATGAAAACTTGGCTTAATTATTCTTGTACTCTATGCATTAAATATCTGAAAATGTTTTGTGTGTGACATTAATCAACTGAAAATAAATGGCTGATAGTAACAGAGAATGTTGTGAGCGCTCAGATTATCATAATCCATCTGGTGAGAGTTGATTGGATACCTGTTTGAACAAATTAGTCCTTATTTCCTCTATAATTCTGTTATTAAATTTCGTACTATTTCTGTACTTCATAAATTGCTGCTGGTAGGTTATGATGTTATATTTCATTCTAGTTCTGTTCACTTGTTGATAATTTTTTTTCGCATTTTATTTATTACCTCTCATCATTCAATTCTTCTAATATTTTCCTCATTCAACAAGGTAATTTATTCTACCGTAATATTTCAATATGCCTTCATAGGGAATGGATAAAATTCGTTTAATGAAAAGCTATTAGAACGTTTACTTCCTTTAAAACAGTAAGATTGACAATTAACGATATTTGACCTTTATTATTAAATTATAGGGAATAAAAAGATGTGCAGTTCATCTTCATAAAAACTTTAAACGAATAGTAAGTAAATCAAATACTCATTGAAATACCTTTCCTTTGCATTGGAATGGTAGATAGTAATTCGCGGAGATACAATTCTAACTAATGGAAATAGATTTTAAAATCGAATTTGATCAAAAATCATCAAAGTTATCTTAGTGATAGTTTTAATTTTCCAAAGAAATGATTACATTCGGGAAAGATCGCATTTATTCAACAACGTTTATCGTCGCAAGGGTTCAAAGAAGAGAAGGGAAAATGAGAGAATAAGTAAAGGTGCTCGGTAGAATATGTGCCCTTATTTTTGAGTAACCAAAAATAAATTATACTTCTCATGCTTCATTTCATTCCAATTTTATGTTTATGAAATTTTTTTGAAATCTTTTATCATCCTTTTCATCAATCTTCTCATTCATATGTACATGGTACTTACCTATCATACTCAAAAAAATATCTGATCAAAAAATCTGTGTTCATTTTCATTTCTCTATCTATTTTCTTTCTTTGTCGTACTAAATAATCTCTATTTAATTCAAAATGATTGATTTATTGAGTTATAGATTGGCGGCTTAATAATACTTCATAGATAAGAAGGAGGATCTTCAGATGCCGCACAAACGATTTCAATTTATTTCGTTCGAAAGTGTTATCTCGTTGATACACGATTTTCCATTTCTCCTCCAAGCTTCTATTTTTTTTTTCCATTAGTTAAACTAATAATTTATAATGGTACGAAAGTTCAGTGTTGGAACAGATTTTGCAAATATTTGAACTCGCGTTTCGGTTGTATTTAAAACTGTTTATATTTTGCAATTTCGAAGAATGAAAAAAATTAATTGGTGCTGTGATTAGTGCTTGCTAAGGTAAGAAGGCCTCCCTAATGCATTCAACAATCATTCTTTCTTGCTTTCAAGAGATTATCACTTATCAATTGTATATTATGCTCTCTGTAATGATCACAATTGAAATCTTCTTTTGCAAATTTTGGGTACATTGATCACCCATTTCTAGATTACCCAAAAATGAGAAGAAATTTGTCAATAAATAAGAAACAGGAATGGACTGGAATTGCATGTTTCTTGAAAATTGAGCAGTTCCGAAAGTAAACCAGGAACTTAAAATATAGGGAGTGATTTAGTCGTTTTCTAAACAACTTCTCAATTATGACACCGGGACAGGTAAGTTCCTACAATTGGTGGAAGTCTCAAGCTGTTAATGACACTTTTGTCCACAATTTAAATTTAACTAGAGAAGTCGGTTTCTTTCTGAACCATCTTTAGATAGTGAATCGTCCAGATTTTCGGTGAGGAAATTAAAGTGAGTAAGGGCATCTTGAACAATATTGAGAAATGACCTTTTTTTCATACCCTACTTGATTAATATATCTATCTCTACTGCATTCGTAAGGATTATTGCGACTTTTCCCAAGAGATAAAGCCAAATAAATGCTTTCATCCTTTTTCCTTCTACCGGAAATTAATATGAAAAGGCAACTGCAGTTCCGGTCAATGATTTTTAAAATTGATATCGAGCGCTTTGTTTTGTAAAGTGCAGATTTTTTAATTGAGGAGGAATCAACTATCGCATACTTATTCTATCCGCCCTCCCTTGTTCATTTTGGTTGCGGAATAATTATCCAATTTCAGACACGCAGTTTGTTTCACTTTGATCAATTTAGCAGTTAACGGAATGACAAAATGAATCACATTTCATTCACAACTAAAATGTTGCTGCAAAATTAATTATTAGTTGAAAACATATGGATTTTAATTTTCAATACAATGGTTATTTTGGAAGCAAAAATTAGTAGCTTACAACTAAAACGCCCACTGTTATGGTTTTTCAAGATATTTTAACATAAATCGCCATCAGTGGTGGAATCGAACACTTATAATCGTCGATCAATTTGATCACTTATCCGCAAATAAACTACTTCGCTACTTAGCCACAAAACGCTTTTTATTTTCAATTATCTTCATTCTATAATGAATTTATGCGCAAATGGCATAATTTGTTTGTTACCTTTACTCCTATTATCTTAATACCTTTACTTATATTATCTGGCTTATCATAATTTTTTAGATGTTTAACGATGAATTTAGTCTGTTTCTTATAAAAGGTGTCAGAGGAAGGCATTTTTATAATTTCAATGATTTTGACATCAGAACATTGCATTTAATTGATCTCAGATGTTCACATCGCATTCATTTTCTTTTCTGCTCAAACAACTCTCACGAACATTTGGGTAAGCATAAATAATAATAAAATTAATCAATTATCATCACTTTCAAATTTAATCAAAAAAGAAAATAAATTTAAATATGTTTTTCGAAATCTATGAGTAATATAAAGAAGTGAGGATTCATTTACTAACTAATTAATAGCTTTTTAGCACTAATCTTTACTGAAACAAAAATGCTAAAACAAAAATTATAGCGATTTAATATGCGATCAGAATTGATCTCTAAAGATTTCGCATTATAAAAAAATAAACAGGTTAAAGAATAAAAAAATAAAGAATCGTCCAATTTATTAAATGTTGTTGTAATCTTTATATTTCTTCGCCAGTGACATTTAAATATGACCCATAATTAATCCATAATTAAACTCACGAATCCATCCATAGCTGCCACATGTTAATTAATTTATACTTTCAAAGAGTTTTGTAAGCTTATAATCAAGAATTGAACTTGACGTTCAAAGAAGTATTGAGGAAATGCAATTCCGAATTTTCCTTCTCAATTCACTTTGATGTGAAAATTATATTAAATAAAAACTATATAGGAATTGAACTTAAAGTTAGCCTAAAAAGAGAATAGATAATATGTGAACGACTTATATGACTAAGCATCCATTTCAAAAAACAAACAATAATTGAATGCATCTTAAATTAACATATATTCAAATGTTTTTATTTGTGATTAAATGAAAGCTAAAGTAAAGCAGTCAATTGTTAATATTATATTTCATTTAATTCATATTATTGTAAATTCAAAAAAATAACAAAATGCTTTGAATTTTCTCAATTCTTTCAACAATAGATGACCTTGAATTATAGCCATTTCATAGGAACCATTTCCTCTTTCTGTTAATCATTTTTATTTGTAATTAAATTGATTTTTCACATCTCAGATTTGATGAATTCCTTTTTTGTTTGGAATATTCGCAGACAGATGCTTGTATAAATGATCACTTTCAATTCACCGTTCACATTGATATCTTTTTCATTACATGTATATGAGAGAGAGAGAGAAAGGTGGATATTTAATGACAGGACAAGTTTTTTTGTTTGCCAAAAATTTGAAAGGATATTGAAAATATCAATTTTGAGCATTGATCAACCGTATCTATTTGCTAAAAGATCCATTACAACTGAAACACAATTATTTTCATCAAATTTTAAAGTATTTTTAGAAAGTACAAGCGAAAGCCGATAATTTCTATGCCTTTAAAATGCCTTAAAAAGCTTGTATAGCTAAGGCTTATTCATCTTCTAGCATTTAAGCCTTTGCTTATTCATTACTTTTTTGATCCTTTAAGCATTTCTCTCTCTTTCTCTCTCTCTATTTTTATGTTTTCCTTCAACTAAAATCTGAAATGTTAAAATAGGATAACTGTTAGACTGGTGAAGATTTTGAACATACTAATAGGTTACAATTATATAATTATACTGCCAGCGATGGACCCATTTTTGGTCATTTGATCTATTAACTTCGCATTTATGTTGATTGACATTTCTTCATGAAATCACACTTCAATTGCTAACTGTTTCTTCTACTTCTACATTTCGATAGCCAATTCCTTTGAACTTGCCTATCTTTCGCCTATTTTCATTTTTTTTTCAAAATGTACTCATTTCAGTCATTTTATACAATATAAACTAAAATATAACTTAATTAATTAGCAAGCAGATCGAAAAACAAATGGAATAATTACCATCTGGATTGAAGTATACAATTAAATTGTTGGATCATAAGTTTTTTTAAAGAACTTAACAAAACTTCACTGCCTTTATCAATTGAAAAAAATGTGCATCAGTTATTTTCCGATGATAATATGGATAAATTTCTTGAGAGTACTTCGTTTTCTTCCTGGTTAAATGCAAATGTCACAAAGTGTTCATTTTCATTTACTTCTGTTTTCCACATTCCTCATTTATTCATGTAATACGATTTTCGCAGTCTTAATCGATCTGAATAATGGCAATTATTGTTTAAGTTGTGACATTTTCCTCGGATATACAAAAAGGACAGTTTTTTGTTATCAGTAGAAAGTCTCAGTTACAAAATGATATTGCAGGATGACAATTTACGTATTATTACTAATTTTATCAACATTATCAGTTGCTGGAGCAATTCAATGTTATTCAGGAAGTCATCTGCAGATTACTGAATGTCCGGGTATCAATTGCATTAAGCATTCACTTGGTTTCGACACGGTATTTATCCAATTTATTTTAAACTGATTTCCACAAATTAATAATATATTAAGAATTTCACTGATGAATAATTGAACAATTGTCTTTTATTATATAAACAGCAAAAAATGATTCGATAACAATGAAAGAAATTTCTGTATCCAAATTTGAAAGAAATTAAAAAACATTTGTTGTGTTTATATTGTTTATTGTTGTATTGTCTGTTGTCTGTTGTTTGTTTATTGTTTGTTGTTTATTGTTGTGTTTATAATTTCTTTCAAGTTGAACTACAAAAAAGGCATGAACCTTAAATTTAAACATTTATAAAGTGTTGAAAAGTCAAAGGTATATATTCCTTCAGGCAAGGTACTGTGATGGTACTGGTGGATCATCAATCTGTCAAACATATCGTATATTTGAGGCATGTGATACAATTCCCAACTTGGGTCACATATGTTGCTGTTCTAGTAACCTCTGTAATTCTGTTCAATCTATTTTCATGTCCAAACTTCTTTTATTGGCATTGCCTCTTTTATTTCTGAAAATAATATTGTGATATGATTTATTTGATTGTTACAATTATCTTTCAGTATAATAAGACTTTGTAAACCGATTTCGTCAAATTAAACCATTGCTTTATTGAAAATCACAAAAGACTTTGTTTTAATTAGTTTATCAATTTTGAGAGATTGAATGCAATTAATAAGCGAACATGTTATTATCAACTCAAAGTTTAGCATATCTTAATGAAATTAATGCTAATAAATAAATTTTGATTACAAATAAGGTTGCATCTCCTTTTCTTCGAATCAAATAGAGAATAAAACTTCACACTGTTGAAAATAATTCGTAGATGCTTGTCAATATTGAAAGATTTTCTCTGTGCATTAGCTTTTTTCACTGAAAACAGGTCATCGTATCAACGAAAAATTGCTCTACTGGACTAAAATGAATTATGTTTAATCGATGAAAATTCATATCAAATTTATTTCGCTTTAATGGTAGAACCTTAATACGATTTGTGAATGATTTCAAATACCAGAAGATTAATTTTTGACTTTACATGTATACATACAACAATTTAAAAGTTGAATAATATAATTATAAAAATTTAGGATTTAAGGCCTTTTTGATCGAATGTTTCAAACTTTCAGCAAATTATAATTTCTTTTCTTTCAAAATACTTTAAATTTCTATTCAGAAATGTAACTTTTTTCATCACTAAAGTTTTTATATTTTATGAAATTCTACTACATTTATTATTATTAATGATGAAATCAATTATTCTTTACATAAATTAAAATTATTGATTCTTATGCTTAGCTGGAATTTTTATATTTATAATTTACTTTTTCAACGTGACGATAGCTACTCAGAAGTCTTACAATAGAAATTTTCAAATTTTAATGAACTTTAAGCCTTAGGAGTAGGAGAGGTTGGTAATATAAATAACTATTCCTATAAGATAGTAATGAGAAAAGTTAAAAAAAAGCAACGCTAAATATTTTGCGTAAATGAAATCGAATTAAATTTCTTCCTGTCATGTACTTTTCAACTGTTAACTAACAAATCTTTCTAATTTGAATTATTACAAATTTTTTGCTTTATGTAATAACTTTCTATAATATATTTATAATTAGCATACAGCACTTGATACAAATAGATATATTTTTTTCATTTTCATTGTCAATTTTCTACGTGGTGTTTGAATCTATCATTTTCTCCTCGATTTCTCCACGAACTTCACTTTACACGTTTAAAGTATCGCTTTATGATTTTACGAATAAAATTTCAAAAGTGTTAATTGACGAGACAGCATATATCCTTAAGCTTTTTTTCAACTTTTTTCTTTTGAAAAAGGCAGTAGAATAACTATCAAACCAACCATATTTTAATAACAAAGTTGAGAAGTGCTGAAATTCAATTTAAAATCAAGAAAAGTGAAAATCGAAGTTTGATGTTCAACTAACTAATTTATATATAAACATCATTTTACGTTAAAGTAAATGTGATGCATTAAAAAACAAACAAGAGTTAGGAAATATATTTAACGGTTGAAGCGATTTGTTCAGAATCGATGTGCCTATGCAACAGAAAAAAGCCAGAAGTTCAACTGCCAGTAAGTTCGTAATCTAAGCTATATTAACGTTGAGAAAGTAATTAGAATTAACGAAGATTTTATTGATAAAGAAAACTTCTATTAAACGACCGAATCTATCTGTTTAATCTTAACATAATAATAGCTATTTATGGAAATACAATGGCACAAAAAACTTGCAAAAGCAAAAATTTCAAACATATCGGATAGCGCATGCTTTGGTATAATACAAATCAACCTTTTTTACAAATTCAGTGCAAAAAACTTGACCATAATGACTCGTGATTTAAGGCCTGTTGTCAAAGTGATCTATGTACCATCTGTGTATCACTGTAGATGATAGAATTACTATTTTCAGTTTCGATCGTTCAATTAATTTAAAAAATGTCTGCTCAAATATTTTTTCATATAAAAATAAACGATATTTCATAGCTAAAAACGAAGAATGCTCCTCAAAATCGAACAATTAAAAAGGGAACACAACGAAGTAGAATTCCATTATCCAAAGAAGAATTGAAGAGTCAGTTTGAAGAAATACAAAAGGTTGCTGCAATTTTCTTCTTTCCTTGAATTATTATCGTTACTCTTGAAGAAGTGACAGACAAAAGATAAAAGGTTAACCGAGAACCGAAAAATTGTGATAATAAAACTTGCAATCACTACTAGCAATAGTAGCATCTGATGATGACTGACGGCAAAGTACGTGATGTCCGCAACGATTTGAAGAATTAACCTCACGGGGATAAGCTTACACATTATTCATCATGATTTTTCATGCATTAAGGCACTTGGCGTCGAACCTAACTCAGCGCTTATAGATCGAATTCACTCATGCAAACAACCGACAAAAGAATTGTCCATAAAGAAAGGTGTTCTATTAATTATAATTTCTTCCTCAATGACACATTTCAGATATTTTAAAACTTATTTGGAACGCATTGCTTCATTTCTTAATTAGTTTCTTTTTTATTTTCTCTGTTAAAAATTTATCTGTTTTTGAAATTCATCTCCATGTAATGAAAAAATTGTTTAGGTGATTTGATATTTTCATTAAAAGAATTAAAGATGCCAAAAACAAGCGGTAGCAAAAAATACGACAGTAAAGAAAATATTAAAGTTGGAAAACTTGAGGGAGATGACACATTTTATCCAAAACCCATGTCTAAAAATGAAGCCGATCAAGATGAAATAAAAGATGTGGTAATATATAAATTTAAAACTGGCGTTAGTTAAAAAAACGCACTCTCTTATCATACCTTTTATTAGTTTCAGAATTGCTTTTTACCTGACTATCACATTTCCTAAAGATTACTGGTATTTTTGCACTTTATGAAAAGTAATTTACAAAAACAGCTATTAGTTGTTTCATCCAAGAATACATTTGCTACAGCAGCTGGAAGAACCAAATTCGGAAAATTATATGTACAATGAGCAGGAAATACTATTTGTGTGTCACGATATGATTCGCCAATTGAATAAAGTGCTACCTTTCCAAACTTTTAAAACCCATAATTTCACATTTTAAGTTATTCTTGAAAAAGTATTCCAAGTCTGAACGAGACATCCGATCGCTTTGTAGGTCTTTTGATAAAATGTAATTCGGAGGATTAGCTAATGTTTTCTGACAGGTTCATTTTCTGAACCAAGCCTGATGTACTTCTTGATCAGGCTTTTTTTTTATCTTTTGCTGCTTTATCTTTTGCTTAAAGGCACAAGTAAGAAGAATAAAGCTTTTACTTTGTATGTATATAGTGATAACAAATTCATCTTACATGTTGATAAAAAATTTATTTATTATAGGAAGACATAAATGAAGCTAACGAGCTGTCACTTATGAAGGTCTTTTTTAATAATTGAAGATTAGACATAAATATTATAAATATGTAAAGTTGGAGGATGCAATGTCTGTTTTTATTAGTTGAGGTACTTTCAACTTCCGATGCATTTATATAAATTTTAAAAACTTTAAATTATTCAACTTCAATTTTCTTATTCATTGATAAGATTTTCGATTAATAATTATTAAATTGCAGTCTAGCACAACACTGCAGTACGATCCATATGCTCCTCTCGAAGAACTTGAGAAACGGGAATGTTTCAATTGTCACACGTTACGCAGAAATACATTCCTTGCTAATGCATTATCGATGCCGAATGAAAAGGAACGCAAGAAAAAAAGCAAGCCAAAATCACCGCATGTTTTACCTTTTATAATTACATCATTTTTACAAGTAGTTCCATTCCAAAAAAAATACCTTTCTCAGTTATTTTCCACAACAACCGATAGGTATGCATAACGGATAAAGAGGCACACGTTAGTTGGAACAAAACTGCATGATATGTTTAGTACCATATATCTTTCAACATATTATCAACTTTATAGTCTAATTTTATAATAATGTCATATTGCGATGAATATCCAACAGTTAAATCATCATGAAGTGTTCATTGTAGGAGTAAAGTGACATTTAATGAAAAAGTATTTGACATAACTGATTGGGAAGATTTCGCAAGGTAAGTGACTACTTTTTACCTAGTGTAGTGTTTGGTTGTTATTCACAATTTGAAAATTTAGCCTCGAAGAGTATATGAAAAAATATACGGCAAAGCAACATTAGTAATATCTGAGATTACTTTAACTTCTATTTTTATTAATTTGCGAAAAATTTTACAGCACAGCGGAAGAACGATCGGACAGAACGCAAAGGGATAGTGAATTGGAACTTGTGAAAACGCAAGAAATTGTTAGTTGCATTGGATCTTTATAGACAATTCATGATGTAAACAAAATTAAAATTGTTAACTATCAAAAGGGGGTTTTGATAAATTCAATAAAAAAACAGCAACGCCTTCTAATGTTATACTTTATGATCTTTTATAAATTTTCCAAAATAGCACATCAGGTCAAAAGTCTGACTATTTAATTTATTTAGTTCATCTAACTATATTTTTAATAAATCAAAATTTTAAGCTACCTCTAACATCTAAGGAAGCAGTGGAGGGATTGTCGGATAAAGTTCATTCAATAATGAAATCAGCAACGAACGATTCAGCAGAGTTAACAGATCAGAATAGCATACCAGGAATATTTACTAAGGCAGAGATGTCGCCATCACTCAACTATGAGAAGGAAATACCTGGAAATAATCCGGAATTGAAATAAAAGAATATTTAAAAAAGAAAATCAAAAGTAGCAGAAATACAATGATATAAACTTGAAGTTACGTAATGTCGAATTAAATAGACAACTTTCATTTTAATAAATCTGTTTAGAAGTTATTTTATCAAATTTTCGATAATAAATTTTTGTCTATTAGATATACGCAACTTTTATGACATTTTACTAGCAACTTCAGCGATTAATCTTCTGCCTCATTCACACATCTTCATATTCTTCATTACCTTACATAATCTCTTAATATCATCCACGTAACTTGTAAGTGTGGAAAAGTAGATTCGAGCACATTGTAATGACCTCACGACGGTCATCTGACAAGACCTCAATTATTTCAATTATTATTTGTAGATTTAGTTTATTGATTATATCAACAAAGATCAAAGCAAACCAACCAATTTAGAAATAAGGGATTTAAAATTCTAAAAATAAATGGATAAATTAATGAATACAGTGTTCCCTTCCTGGAAGTTACAGAATATTCTAAATTAACAGCTGTGAACAGAAATGATAATTTTCATAGCAATCTAAATCAACAAAATGATATTAGAAGGAACGTTTTCTTTATTCTTTATTCTCTCTTTTTTGTTCCATGTTTTTATTTTTTATTTTCTATCCTTTATTCTTTATTTTATTTCCCTTTCTTATTCCTCATTCTTTATTTGTTAATCACTATTGTTCATTCTTTATGTTTCATTTTCTATTTCTCATTCTTTTATTGTTCTCTATTCTTTATTTTGCAAGAATAGAAAATTAAAAACAACGATTGAAAATAAAAATTAAAGGTAAAGAGGTAAGAACAAGTAAAAAATAACGAATAAAATATAGAGAATAAAGAAATAAATAATAAAGAAGAAAGAATAGAAAAAGATCAAAAATAAGAAATGAGGAACAAAAGAAAAAAACATTATAAATAAAGAACAAAGCAAAAACAAAGGATGAAGAATAGAAAACAGAAACAAAGAATAGAAAATGATAATTAAGGAATATAATGGAATGGATAAACTATGTGTTTTCATTTTTATTATTTTCAAATAGTAAAAGAAATGAAGGAATGAACGAATAGAATAAAGAAAACAACAAAAAGTAGATATGTTTATTTATGAAAATTTAAATAGAAATAATTTAATATTGTGTATTAAATTCAGTATTAAGTATTAGCCTAAATTGATATAAAGCTTTTCTTTATCTATCATTCTCAGATATGGGATAGTACGGGGTGTTGAGGATAAATATGAGGAAGAGCGAGAATGAACGATAAATCTTTTTAGGTAATATTTCATTCAAAGAAAAATTTCTATAATTTTTGTTGTTGCTGATATTTGACAGGTTATTATTTTTAAGCTAATACTAAAACATGAATAATAACGACTAGAACTCAACCTATCATACCACCAATCAAATGGTCCTAACTTCGAAACAGTCGTTCGCAGTTTAACTTTAAAATGTACAGAGAGTAAAAACGTTGAAAATTAAACATAAAATTTAATTTTATTAAGAAATGAATGTATGAACAATTTCATATATTGATTACTGGTGCTGTTGCTGTATGTGCGTGTGCGGATGTGTGTGTGTGTGATTTTTGGATTCAGTGGCCGATTGTGATTCCATTATCAACAATAAATCTGTAATAGATAGTGTTTGAAGGATAGAATTATCATTCTGTGAAGTGTAGCATCTTTTGTAATTTTTCAAACCTCTCGGCATATTGAAACGTATCATTCTTGGATAGTTCAGAGTATTAGCTCGAGGATGAATCCGCACCTTTGCTGTAAAACCTCGCCACGCTTTTTCCATGTGTACGTTGCAAATTGGCACCTTAGCAAAAGCTTAATTAATTTCATTTGTTTCGGAGATAAATGATGAAAATTTCCTCTATTAGTTAAAAATTTTAAATAATAGAATGAAACCTGTGAAATATTGATGCATTGTGCAAAGAAAGGTTTCATGTTTATCTGACCAATTTCTATGTTACTGTTATTCCATGCCGTATTATGTTTTGTTTTAGCATTACGCTGCAAGAATGCTGATTTCGCAGCTGCAAAGTTCAAAAATATTCTTAGCCTATCACTTCAACTGACTCCCTAAAAAAGATTTAGGATTTAAAGGAGTGCTATGTAAGAAAGTGAAAGGAATTGTTCTCTCCATCCCAAGAATTCTCCCCAGGATTGAATGTTAAAAAAAAACATTTTTCCAGATATTTTTTCAATATAATTGGATGAATAGAAATTTTAAAGTAAAAAAATAAAATAAATGAATTGGAGAATGTTAAATTTTGGAGATTGCATGAGGGATTAGCCAGGTGAGGAATAGTCATATAAGGCAGACGGAAACTTATCGATGGGTCATTTCCAAAACATCATCTTTGCATTGAAAAATACTAGAACCAAGTAGTTATGTTACAAGGAATCATCCAGTAGCCTTTAACTTGAGGAATATATTCTAAGAATCCGTAGTTGCTGAGTGGAGATTAACGGAAGTGTTGCGCAGCAAAGAATTCCGCAGAGATTAATTTCAGTAATTATCATTTTCTTTGAGTAGAAAAATTTTTTTACTAAGAAAAATTGCCTTCATTTCCAATCTCACCTAAGAATAAAGTCCGATTTGTTTCTTTTTCTAGATACAGCATTGCCAAAAGAAATAAAGGATGTTCATGACCGTAGCAGAACTTCCAAACCTGGAAACAAGTGAAAAAATCTTCACATCCGCATGTTTCTGCCGTTTCTATCGTGCTATATCGCAATTAAAATAGGTCCTGAAACTCTTTGAACCTGGCTCCCACAAAAACAATGATAAGAATTCTCACATCAATTGCTTATACATACTAAAAAGACAAACCCTACAATTCCTGCTAACAGATTTTACAGCCGTCCTTAACTTTTTTACAAAATACAGTGAGCAATATCATCAGTAATGCCGGCTATATGTTGTAAAATTTGCATGAAAACATGAACCCAACGCTGTATTCACTTAACAATAATTCAAAGTGTTCCCATTCCATCTATAACTTCCGTGGAACCGACTTTTATGCATCTAAAAAAGATAAAAAAACTTTTATCGGCTCAAAACAAGAACATTTAACATTTACGGGTAAAGAACTGAACAGCGGTAATCAATAACTTTGACAAATAAAAAAATACGTTCAAAATTTAAGGAACGCATATGAAATAGATCAAATTCAATAGCGGAAACCAATAACTCCACTATTTCTCAATTCACCACTTCCGATTTTGGGCTAGCAGTTTCCATTGGTGTTGCGTCTGGATTTTCATTCATTTGAATCTAAAATGGATTGTGCTATAAACATATTCCAAATATAATTTCCCAAAAAACTTTCAAAATCTTATTAAGCGCAACCTTTTCTTTAGCAGCAAATTTTTCGAACATTCCCTTATATCGCTTTTTCTCTTTCTCATTAATCTCTGCCAACTTTTTCTTACATGCCACTATTTGCGCCGCCGCTGCCTGAAATTTTCGTATTATGATGGAATGATTGATAAAAGGATAGTTCACATCTGATGAGATCACTGTGCCATTGTAGACAGAACCTTATTGTCTGGTTCGTATTGCAGCACCTTTTTGTACTCAACAATTGCTTCATCAACATCATTTTGCTCTTGGAGTGCCTGAAATAATAATAAAACATCGTGAAAACTATAATTTTATGTTAATCTATTCCGAGTAAGGAAGTCGAAACAGAGCATGTGAATAATAACACTTGACTAAGGTTTTATTTAGAATTACCAAAGCCTTTCGATATAATGCTTTCACACATTTCGGATCAACTTCAAGCGCTTTGTCACAGCTTTTTATACATTCCACTGTTTCGCCTTGCTTTGCGTATACGAGGGCGCTAAATCAAAGAAAACAAAAGTTGTAAACATTCAAATCAAAAGATAGTTGATACGGACTTCTTAAAATATGGATATTCTGAAAAGACAGCTTAAAGAAATAAAGAATCAGAACGCAAGAACCTGTTGAGGTAACCAGCCAGTAGTAGCGCATCGCGTCTGCTCTTAATTTCATCGTCTTGAGGTTTTTCATATTCCAGTAGTTCGATAACGCGCATATACTTTGCAGCTGCAAGGCGCATTTTGCCTTGTTTGAAAAACATAGTACCCCTTTCTTTAGCAGCCTCTGCAGCGTCAAGTTTTTCTTCACCAGTCAGTTCCCATGACGCCTTCATCTGAAAATGAGATTTTACTGTATTTTCTGTATATAAAATTCTTCATATATGAATAGCGTTAAAAATTAATGCTGATTTATATATGATTGAATTATATACAGAAAAAATAAGGAATAAGTTATGACTGTGATATTTGAAGTAAAAAATCTCAGAGTTAGAAAAGTAACAATCTCATACACAATATCAAAAAAATACCTTCTCATATTCCTTGAGAAACAAAGTGAAGTCAATTTCAGCATGGGGTGGTAAACCATATTCTGGCGGCGGAGCAGCACCAAATGTGAAACGGCTTCCTTTGAGATGGACTGTGGACTTCTCGCCCTTGTTGAATCGACGAAGAGCGCGGTCAACGCCTTCTGGCAAACCAACCTGAAGATATATGTTTTGAACATGTATAACCCCAAGCTTATTAGATTTGATAATTTGTTTGCAAATAAAAAGCATCAGTATATCGCTCTGGAGGGTATGATCATTGCATATTAACTAAATGCTTATCCTCGGCCTATTATCATCATTTGCAAAAATGAATCGAAAGAATATGTAAATTGGAATTATAAAAGATCTGCTGGTAGTTACCTCAGAACCTTCTCCCAAAATGAAGCTGACTTCCTTATCGTAGAATATTCGGCCATTGTACGAACCAACTGCACATACTGAAACAAATGCCGACTTCATCCATTGCCAGTGATCTCACCAGCAAATATCCTTCAAGTTGTGAATAGGACACAAATTCCCTCTCGAGGGACGCATTACTTAGAAAGACAATCTGGAAAACACAAGTTAACAAATTTAACCACCCAGAAAATATAAACAAACAAAACTAGCCTTTGACAGTTGAACCTTCAGTGGGACTTGAGTACTTCTCACCCTCCACAATAATTGATCGGGTAATTGTACCGTCTCTGTCTGGCGAGATGTCTTCTCCTTGCCAGCTCAGTAATTCAATCTAGAAAACGACAGATTTACAAAACCAAATAATTAACGGATTCAACCCAAAAAAATCTTCGTCTCACTTGTATTATTTATACATATGATGAAACACATACAAATTAAGAATTTGAGATAAGTTTTACTTCAAATTTGAGTGTAGCGCCGCCAGGAATCTTCGGTGGACTACCATTTTCGCCGTACGCATAATCAGCCCGACAGATGAGATCACATTTCTCGCCCTTCTTCATCGTTGCAACACCAAGATCCCATCCCTTGATAACCTATAATGTATCACCTATGATTCTTCATGATGTGAACAAGTCTGAAATCGCTACAGTAACAATAAAAGTTTTCAAGACAACAAAGTACTACCTGTTCCCAAAAAATTAATAAAAAAGATATATATCAGATTAAATTCATATATTGCCTGTCCATTGCCCAATGTAAAGTTGAATGGTTCGCTACGGTCGCGGCTCGAATCGAACTGCTCGCCGTTTTCAAGAGTCCCTACGTAGTGCACATAAACACTATTACCCTTCGAAGGGCGATGCTCCCCTGTTCCTTCCACTAATATTTTTTTCAAAACACCACCATCCTGAAAAGTAAACGAATAAACAAATAGTATACGATTTAAAATTTTTTTTTTGATTTTAAATGAACGAATTCAAAGGAAGTTTCATCTGAATTCCCACTAAACCAATTAATTATGTCTTTAGTAGAAGTACTGTCTGCCGATGACCAAATGAAAGCATCGATGATTGACTGGAAGTATTATTACAATCTAATAAATTAAGAGTAACCTTTTCAGGAGTGATATCAATTCCATCAACAGCTGCCATTTTACGTGCTCTAAAAAATTCACCTGAAAACAATTTGCACGAATTCAGAATTCAGAACATTCACCCTACACACAAGAAAATCACTGAAGCTACTCAGACTGCCCGAACCCCTCGCACATCATATATACCCACTCCAATTCCCTAGGATTATTCATCGAACGTTCTAGAAAATGCAGATGCATTTGTCTGGCTGAATCATTGTAAAGCTCGAACGTACGACAGTTCGCAGGGGAGGATTGCAAGGCGTTTCATGAGGAGATCTCTTCTGTCTTTCACTCAAGTCGGTAGGATCAGTTAATCTGGGATCGTTATGAGGATATAAGACATTATGGGAAGGGTTAAAATAATCGGTAGAAAGTGTTGGAAAAAGTTTCGTGAAGAAGCAGAACGCGAACGCAGGAAGTTTTTGGGAGATGAAGATGGTGTTAATTAACTACTCGAAATTTATTTGTCTTATAAATTGTAACCTTGCTATTTTCATATTATTAATGTTATTACATTTATTTTATAAATCTGTACAACCCATGTCTCATATCAGTAGTGCTTATCAGCAATGTTCTGTCGAAATGCGTGGAAAATGAATCATGTTACTGGAATTTAATATTTTTATATTGTAGGTATGCTAGATAAATTGGTACGTGAAGCGAAATGGTGGGGTGAGACATTTGTTGGTCTTGCTAAGGTTATAGCTAGCCCTAATGCTCCTATTCCAGCAACTAATATTCATCCTCGTCAACCAGCTATTCCGAGTACACCAGCTGAAGGAGTAAGCTTTGTTGTATATTACTGATTCGAATAGGGACTAGTAATTGAGTTAAAAGCACTGCATATTAAAGACCAAAAACGATAGAGTTGTTATACCAGATAACGTCTTCCAATATACTTATCATTTATGTTTCAAAAGTTTATAACACCTTTATGTCTGCATCTGAAATTTGCCAAAGAACCGTAACAATCCACTGTGAAATAAATTTGATAAGCATCCCTTACATGTCTAAAAGAAATGTCTTATAAATGTAAGTGTGCTGCTTTCCTTTCCTTCGAATCAAGTTTAGATTATTTATTCGGATTGCATCGCTTTTCATAAATAGCTCCTTCACTGCTTTTTCTACTTATCTTTCTGCGGATCATTCTTCATCAAATAGTTACGATATCGCTGACCAACATTAATTAAGTTGAAACTTTATACGCTTTTAAATTTGCTTGTTACAGTTTCGATCGTTTCCATTTCGTTGGTGGTGGAAATTATGTCCGTTTAACAGAAATATCGTTATTTGGATGTCGATACTGCTCCCAATATATATTGTCAAGTTTCCACGTTAGTATGTCATATATTTTAGACAATTTCTTCTGGTACTCTTTTTATGTATCTTTTAGAAAAATACAAAATTGGTGTCCTCATGCTTCTTTACTTTAAATTAATCTAAATTTTCGTTTTTTAAGAGGAGTTGTTTGTAAAAAGATTTATGCGGTGCTAACGGATTTCAAATACTATATGGTCCTCCGTTTCAAGTCGTTATAAAATGTTTTCATTTACCGAATTTAATTTGCAGCGGAAATTTGGAAAGCCATGTTGATACATCAAGTTCCAGAACATATGTCTTTGCACAAAAGACGTGGAAAAGCACAGCGTATTCAAGATGAGTTGTATTTTGCAAAATACGACCCACTGAAAGAAAAAGCTCCAATTGGTGTTAGAAAGTAGCTACAAAGTTCCATCTTGTGTAATATTTTTCACTCCGTATAGATGATAGTTGGACTTTTGATTTTCTTTAACTGGTTTAGTGAATATTATCAAATTTTTTTGCAATGATCTTGCAGTTTATCTCAATAAAGATACATCTTTAATGCTATGGATTTTGTGCATTTAAACAACTTAATCGAAAAGTTTGCGAAATGAAGCATTCGATTAGGCAGTGGAGGTCCGACATGTGAAAGATAACTGGATGCGTTCTATCCAGCTTCATCTTACAATACTTCTTACTTAGTGTACAAAGTTTTGCAACCGCAACTCAACTCCTCGGGAATCCATTGTTTTCGCTCATATGTGACGACTTTACATCTCCATGTTTTTTCAAATTTTCTTTTAGAGCCCGAATAAGTATATATATTAACGATATATTCCAAAATCTTTGAAAGCCTCAATTTTGAAGGTTGTATATCCTTTAACACTTTACAACAACGTTAGTTCTATGTCTAATTTCTACTGTGATAGATTAGCACTTAAATACCGATGTGTATAGAGTGGCCTGCAAATTTGTAGTTTGGTTGTCTTATTTTTCTTAAATTGTGATTTATTTCGATTGTCTCGTTGCAAAGCAACGAAGTTGTTTTGGGGCGATATGGCAACTTAGATTATTAAATTAGGTCTTGAATTAAAAAAAATTGTTGCTTAGGATTTACCGAAAGACTCGGCCTAGCTTGTCATTTCTGTCATGTGCAGCTATTGCTTTTTTTCGTGAACCTAATCGCAGCGATGACAACAAAATTGTAAAATGAATAATTGAAGTACTCCAAGAAATTGATGATGGGAAAGCCCACGCCATTTTTCGCCTCTCCCTTCAATGATTTGGCTGTAGTGGTATCTCACTTAAATGGAGCAATGAAGCACTGCTAATAAATATTCCTGGAAATATATATTATAATAAATATTCTAATAATAAATATTAATAAATATTATACTAATAAAAAAATATTAATATTAATAATATTAATAAATATTAATAAATATATACTAATGAATATTCCTGGAGACATAATACTGATGTGTAATTTCTAGCACAAGCAAAGTTAAACACATTTTATCATTTGAAATTTATTAAGCTTAGAAAACTGATAGCGCTTTGGTTTTATCCTTGTTTGTTATGAACATGTATTTGAAGCTGACAAGATGATGTATATATTTTTTGGATAGTAGCGTTGGTATAATCGGCTATTATATACAGATGATCATTTTTGAAAATAGCTGCAGGAGAAGAGATAGTGATTAAGTTGAAACTGCTCCATTTTATTCCTCCTAACACAATCCACGGAGATATTAGCAGTAGGAAGTGTAGTTAGCTGTGTGTGGTGAAATCATATGTGATAATGTGTTTATGTCTATTTGTATCTTTAAAGCATATCTCTCTATCTGCAAGGCTGCTTCGCTATTCTATTTTAAAAGTGAAATCAGTGCAGCCTTTTATCCTGAGATATCTATGTCATTTGGCTGAAATTGTAAAGCTCATCAAAGAGTGTCTGTCTATATCTGTGTATATGTGTGTGTACGTGTATGTGAGTGTGTGTATCTGTTTTCCAGATCTATGTGGCTCGCAATTGTAAATGTTACCCGACTTTGTCGTATTTTTGATTTACGTATCTCGAAATTTTGATGATTAGTAGTGGTGTGATAGCGATAGTGGTGATGGTGTGGGGGGGTGTATTGATAAAGAAGCATAGAAAGATCGTAGATATTAGTTACTATTTCATTTCATTTGTTGTTATTTTTGATTTGAAGCTTGCCCATCTCTTGTGAAGTACTCATTAATTGCAGTTAAGAGTGACAAGATGCAAAACGGAATGGATAATTCGGATCGGCCAACCACTACAACAATCAGTACAATTGCAATAAATGCTGGTAAAAAAGCAACAATTGTTGTCGCATTACTAAAGGTCTTTCCATTTCTTCTGATTAGCTTATCATTGATACTAATGTTCTTTTCTTTTTTTGGACATGAAGATTTGTAATTATTATATATTATATCTATTTCTGATATATCAAAGTCATGAAGCACCACGAATCATTTAAACGACATCTTACACTTATTGTTTTGCCGGATTTTCTAAATTTTATTCATTTGTTTCGTTTTGATCCGATCAAAGAAGCATTCATACTTTCAGTATTTGAAGAGAACGATTGATTGGATAAGGATTGAGATATAATACTAATCCTCACAAATTTTATACAAATTACAAAACTTTTATTCATTGAAGAAAAAAATAGTCCAAAACTTGTTCATTCTATGGTTGGAGCATTAAGAAATAGCCTGATATTGTTGTTACAATTACATTCTTTTCATTTCCTCTTTTAATATAAATTGTTAAGCAAAAAGTTTAATGAATAATTAAATGATAGAAAATAATGTCTTACTAAATGGCCACAAATCTAATTAACGAACGAAAATATTCAATTCAATAAGTTATTTTGTTTTTTATTTTGTGGATCCATTACAATTTTAAAATATCAATGTAAACAAAAGTTTTTTATTTTCTCTCTTCATCGAACATTTTAATGGCAACAATTGAGATTTTACCATTTTCATTCTTATTGCTAATTCCCTTAACTTGTTCTGTTTACCATTGTTAGTAATTATAATCTTATTTGCTCTTTAATTTTCGCAAAGAACAGGAATTTATAATTATTGAATCCAAAGTACTAAAACGCTCCTAACGAGAAATTGCTGCACAAATAAACGCGAACTGGATAAAATTAACAGAACATGAAGAAAGCCTTATATTATTAATAAATTTATTTTGCATAAGAACTGAAGGAAATATGTCCAAGTAATTGTAAATTAAAATGCAGCATTAAAAAGCTACTTTAGTAAAGTTATTTATTGTTTAGGAATATTCAACTTTCCATCTCAAGGGGGCAGAGAAGAAAATGAAACTAAAAAGTTTTTCGCCTTCAATAATTAAGAAATCTGCATCTGCTATTATCAGTTAAAGAAACAAACATCTGAAAAATATTAAATATTAGTCTAGGAAACAAAAATCTGAAATAGTTTTTTTAGTTTAAGCTTTATTAATTGATCATGGTTTTTTTTTTTGGCTTAAATTTTATCGATTAGTCATTGAAGATGTGTTTTTTAAGATTTAAGCAATAATGTCTCATTTTCAAAGTTCTGCTAGCTGAACTAAAATGTTCGCCATTAGTGTGGAAGAATGGATCATCATTAATCGATGTTCAAAATTTTTTTTCCAATCAATGAAGAAGATTCGGATGTTCCGTTATCGATCAAATTGGTCACCGTATTTTTATTATTATATTGATGGCATTTGCATTCTATCGAATGAAATGAAGCAAAAAGTTTACAGAGTATCGGATATGCATCTCTTCGAATTGATGAAATGCAACCACGAATGCTTGAACTTGGCGAAAATTTGGACGAAACAATTGCTCTGCTGGATGTTCATGATGATCTGATGCATCGACTAAAGGTTTTTCTTTTCCATTTCGCTATTTTGCCAATGCCATCATCTTGTTTTTAAATAAATTTTGTACTAAAAAAAGTTCATTATCCCTAATTAACGCTTTTATTTTATGTCGTTATTATAAATGGGTTCCAGAAATGATAAGTAATTAATTACACATTGTACTCACAAAGGTCACTGTGCAACATTTTGGCTAGCTTTAACATAAAACGATTTTCTACAAAAATTTATTTAACAAAGTGATAATTGCCGCCGGAGAATTATCCAAATGAACATTCATAACTGAACAATGATTCAGCAAAAATAACTGACCAAAGAATATTTTAAAATTTAATTAATCAATTAATTAACTAAGTTGATTTTCAGAGTAAAGAAGATCAGGTGGAAGAGTTACTTGCTCGAGCAGATAATTTAGTAATACAGCAAAAAGAGCCCGATGTTCATGTTTATGAAGCAATGGCTGAAAGTTTGGGTACAGCTTGGAAAGAATTAAATCGTCAACTTCAGATGCGAGGATATTTACTTACTGAAGCAAAGCGATTTTATAAACTAGCGAAACACCACGAAGAAGTTTGTTTTTATTTGTTTTTTAAATAATTGGGATTTTTGATAGAAAATGTTGCGTAGATTTGGTTCGAAACAAATGCTTTTGTTCTTAGCAAACAAGACATTGTCATTAATATACAAATAAGAGTTGTTCCATTCAGATTAGCTCGAAGGTACGAAATATGCTTCGCACAATAATTCAACGATCAGATACCGACAATATAAACGATACTGTTTTGCAAATTCAACAACTTATCAACGGTTATTGGTTTTAAAGTTATTATTCCATAATTTGATGATTCAAATGTTTTAATAATTTGAATTGAAAATATACTAATTACTATTTAGCTTCTTATTAGACAAAAAAATCAAAATTGACCTGGTTTCGTGAGATTGAATTAATTGTTAGAGTTTATATGAGCTGTTTGTCCTGGACTGTATCCGAAAACTCCGGTTGAAAAAAATTAAAGTCTTATTAAAAATTAAAGTCTTATTGAGATCTTACTTTGATTAATTTAGAACTGATCGATGTAACCGCATCAGCTGTAGATAGCGGAGCTGATGTGATAACACAAATTCGAGTACTGGGCTCTATGGCTGATAATGTGGAAAGTATTCAGGAAACTGCTCAAGCTTGCTTACTGATCGAAAAAATTATGTTAAAGGTATGATTCATCTTCATGTTTTTGATGACAAGTTAAAAATATAGTTCTATACATGTTTTTTGAAGATACTTAATTTTAATTCCACTCAAATGCTAATATGAACGATTCACATGATATTCAATGATTATATTTATCTACAAGAGTTGTAACCAAAAAAAATTTTCTTCAATTCTAATTGATTTGCGCTTTGTGAACAAATATTAGTATTACGCATTGCGCAAAGAATAATTTTGTAAATAAATTGTTTCTATTAGCAATTTTAGTGTTACTATTTACTGTTCTTACCAGTTCACATTTGTCTGAACCGATTCATATTCATTCATATTGAGAACATTTATTCGTCTTCAGTCAGTATGGCTACTGCTAGTAGTATTGGTCAAAAATTTTATAAATTCTGATAGAATTTGATAATTTATATGTCAAGTTTATTAAAATCTTTGTTTTCAATGAATATTTAAGAAAATTTATTGCTGAAAATTCACTTTTTTCCATCAATAAATTTTCTTAATATACATTGAAATCAGGGGCTTAAAAACTCATCGAACTATTCACTTCCATAAATTCATTAGTTTCATCCTTTCATTTATACTTCTACTCGTATGTTAACAGATGGCGGGAGAGTGGGAATTGCTTGAAGAATCCTGGAAGAATGAACGATCTAAACTAGAAGTGCAAATTGATGAAAGCGAAGCGGTTCTGTCTCATATTGAAGAAATTGAAAAATGGCTTCAACAGGCACGATTGCAACTCAGTGATGGGCAAAATATTAACGCATTGATGCAACAAATTTTGGTAAGTTCCATATTTAAGAAGTTAACTCTCATCTTTCTGGGATATTTAGCGGTCCTTTGAATTCATCAAATGCACTAACAAAATTTACTATTTTTTTTTAAAAGACTAATAATCGAACAGTTTTTATTGGATTGTTTTTAAAAGAAATGGAATAGCAAAGGAAAATGATTTTTTTATCAAACTGTTTAGGCTGTTTGTAAATAGCGGCAAATAAATAAAATCAAAGGCACAATATTTGCTGTTCACTATAATAGATTTTTCTGATCGATAAAAGTTGAATATTCAGAAACAACACAAAGCGCTAAAAGATGTCACATCAATCATTGATCGAAGTGGAGCAAATGCGACTCTTCGTGAACGAGTCATTTTGTTGCAAAACGATCTGGATGCATTTACGCAAGAGTTGAAAAAAAGAAAAGATGAAAATGATAAAGTGATAGCATGGATTGCGGCTGCAAATACTGTAAATTATAGAAGCAATTGAATTTATGTACTCAAATATGAAACTTTTTCATTAATTTTGCTTGAGATTTGAAATTTAGACCTTTTTCAGCCAGTCTTCAATCAGTAATCATAAATTGTTAAGTAATAATTGCTTTTAATTACTTGACACTTAATATATGTGGAAATAGTTCGATTATAAAAAAGATCTGCTAAACTATAATGAAGCATAAAAGAAAAACTATTATGACATTTGTTGTCCAATACAGTAGCGAACCTTTTTTGACGTAATGAGAATGTGAAAATTCTCTTAAACTGTTCAGATAAGTACTTTTAGATGTTGAATCAATTAGGTGCAATGGAAACAGACATACGTAATGCCAATGCAGCAATGGCCGGAGAACTAGCACCTTTAGCAAGACAAAAAGCGCAAAAGGTAATTGATGACGGGCGACAAATTGAGCATATTGATCAACGTGTCAATCGATTCATAATTGATATCCAAAATAAATTAAGACAAATCGAGAAGTACGCTTGTGAACGGATCGATGAAGGCAAAGAATTGATCAAAGATCAGGTGAATGAATGTTTTGTTTTGCCAATATTTGTGCATAAAATTTTTATTGAAGGATAAAATTTGTATAGTAAAATGATTGGGCAGAATATGAAGGAAAATTTATTAATTATTCATTAGAATAGATACTCATTTTAGTTATATCGTTTCGAAAAATGGCTAACAGAAACTGAGCAATCATTTATGGTAAACGGACGTTTAGGCTGCAATTTGAATGATGCCATTCAGTTCCATAAATTTCACAAGGATATGTTTATTGATATTATTGTAAGTGATAATTGTTTCTTTTTTTTAATTTATATTGTAAAAACCGAAAAAGGAAAATTTGTTAATATAGAATTTATTTTGACATTAACTTTCATTTCTATTTAGACATTTATTGATTTGAGTCCTTCTTTATAGAACAGAGGATTTGATCTAAACGATTTGTGGAGCAAAAGTCATGAAGTAGGCCTAGTTGATCGTCAACGTTTGGAAGACTTTAAACAACGATACGAATCATTAAAAGAAGCAGTAGATGAACGCATTAATCTTGGTACATCTTTCGAACAGGTTTGTAAAATTTAAGAAAAACTGCTTTAATCTATAATCAGTACAGCGAACTTTGAACTTCGAAAAGTCAAAAATCGAAAAGTTTTTATAATTAAAACTTGTAAAAAAATTAGAAAAAATGCTTAAAAACAAAGGACGAAGGAACTTAAAAAACTAAGCGGAAGAGCATATGATAAATGAGCAAAGACATTGAAATATGTCTTATTTTGTTCAGCTATTTATTTCTCATTAAACAACCATTGTTATTTAGAAAATTAAGTAAAAAATATCTTAGTGTGTCCTATTTCTCGAAAATAAGATAATGAAATAACTACAAAATCGTTGATTTTGCAGGTGCAAAAATTTGCTAAAGAACTTGAGAGTTCGTTTGAGAGCTTAAATGCCTTGGTTAGCTCAAATCATACTTATATGAACGAGAAATTACTCATACAAATGAAAGAAGTATTTCGTATGATCGAAGAAACAGTTAAACAAGAAAAAGATCAGGGTTTGTTATGTTATGAAATCTTTCTGTAACCTATGACATTTCCATTCCTTTTAATGATTGCTTTTTTGTTAACTATTCATCCTATTCATTACTAAAGATTGGAAGATAAAAATAATTCAAGAAAATCTGTAATGAAGGTATCAGTTTCAGGAATGTTTTCAAAATATTTTAGGTACTCAGTTCATTGATATAGCTCAATCAGCAAAAATAAAGGATGCAAGACTTGATATTGAGCAGTCGATAAATTCAGTGCGCAATTTGCTGAATGAGCATGAACAACTTCAGAAAATAATCGAACAAACCTGGCACCGATGGCAAGATAAACGAATGGAGGAACAAAAAATAATCCAAATTGTTGAAGAGGTATGAATTTGTTAGATGGACGTGGTATTTAGAAGATCTACCTAATTTGATTGTTTTCAGGTAAAATAATTAAATTTCAAGATGGAAGTTTCCTTTTTTCTAAGGTTCAAATTTGGCAAGAAGAAACAGTGGAGATAATTCGTACCGTAGAAATGAAGCTAGAAAATGTGACAGTGATTGAACAACGTGAAGAAGTGATGAAAATAATTGAAGAAATAGAAGAACGTTTTCATGAACAGGAACGAAGAATTGAAGAAGCTGAACGAATTTTGAAAGAAATTGAAGGTAATGGTAGTTTTAGTAATAAAATTACAGTTTACAAAAAAGGTTACTGTATAAGACACTACCGTAATTCTAAATTCCTCATGGAAGAGTACTGAAGAAAAAGCTGCCTTGGCCGTATTGAAAATTGAAGGGAAGTAAAAAATCTGCAAAATCTGCTTGTTTTAAGAGAAACGCTCATCTTTTTGATATAAGGAAGATTTTTACAGGTGAAGTATTTGAAAAAGTGATGTTAGCGAAACAGCGCCAGAAACAAATTGAGGAACGACTTACACAACTAAAGGAGAGAATTCGAGTCGTGGAAGAGCAAATTATCGAAGCGGCGAAGTTTGTTGCTTTTTGAACTTAAAGAATTTTTGTAACTCTTTGCCAATAAGAAATATTGTTCATTATTAAACTATAACTTATAAATGAATGCGGTATCTAATGATAATTAAAATTTGCAGTGACTTATCAGTGTTTCTATAAGATAAAGAAAGAAGATAGGAGGGGAATGACACGAATTTCTAGAGGCTTATTGGAAACAAAACACAATTCTTTCTTCAAACTCTTGATGGTTAAGGCCATTGTTGACTGTTGGAAGTTACTATGCATGTAAACTTTAATCCGAAATACCCAGCAAATGATAGGAAGTAGCGATTATACCGTTTTTATTCATTTAACGTTAAATTTTCAATCTTTTTTCGAATTGCTACAGGGAAGTAACGAAAGCTCCAGAAATCACAAGTCATTTACGTGACGCACAAGTCGATGAAGGTAATCGATTCGAATTTACCGCTTATATCAAAGGTGAACCAGTTCCTGAAATACGGTGGTTTAAGGTATGCAGTATTTTCTTCTTTTTTAATATAAATTTCTATATTAGTTAATAATCTAAAACATCAATGGCAATCTTAAATATTATATAAGTATGATTGAGGGGTTTGATGAAGCAAATTCAATTAGCATTTTTCTCTCATATTGCATTCTAATGCGCACAATGGAGGTATTTTGTGATAATCATTCTTTTCGATGGTTCGTCCATATTTGTCTTTTTAGGACGGTCGAGATGTGAAGGATAATATTGATTACCGTACCACATTCGTTAATGGGGTTGCCACTTTGACAATTGATGAAACATTTGTAGAAGACACCGCCGTTTTTACGGTACGTGCTCAGAATGTCGCGGGGTTGGCTGAATCTTCTGCAAAACTTGTTGTCAATCGTAAGTTTCGAAATAATTTCGGAAAGTTGAATTTTAAGATGAACACTGACTGTTCCTACTTGGAAAAATTATAGTTCAGCCCTTGTACTTATTTGGATTCTGTACTTCTCTTATTTTGCAAATGCAGATAATACTCCAACATTCTGTTGCCATTTTATATTTTCAATTACAATAAGAACCTAGAATTCAAACTGCTAAAATATGGCAAATTCGAAATCTTCACAAGTTTTTAAAATTTTTAAGTCTGTGAAATTTTAAAGGATAAACGTGATTTCGAAAACATCAAAAAATGGAAAAACTCGAATTCCGATAACATCGAAAAATAGAAACATGCTAAAATAAATGATCTAATGATATATTAGATTTCTATTGCTAGTGGTTCTAATTTCAGCAAAAAATGATGAACAGTTGTTTTATTGGATTTTTCATAAACTTTTATAGCTCGAAATGAGATGGGGCGACAGGCAGAAGAGTCATTCAAACCGCGTTTCATTCGACAATTGCGCAATATTACCATCACAGAGGGTGATGATGCTTTTCTCGATTGTATTATTATAGCCGTTCCTGAACCAAAGGTGCCAATTTTTTGCAGTCTAATGGTTGCTAGTTTCCGCAGCATTAAACTGTCTGCCGACAATTAATGAATTTATCAGTAATCTAACAAACTGAGTATTTGCAGTTTTGATGAATAGGATAATTACAGTAGTTGGTGATACTGCAATAATTTGATAATATAAAACTATTATAATAATTGTAATATATTATTTCTTTCTTATTGCACCTACGGTAGTACTTATTTTATTGTTGCATGGATTAGAAGCTGCTATTTTTCTATATTTGGATGCTACTATTTAGAGAGTATTCGAAGGATTAAGCTTAGAACTGCATTTAAACCTTTTAGCTTTTCTAAAATTGAAAATAATATTATGGAAGAGTAAAAATTTGATCCGTTATTGCAGGTTGTTTGGTATAAAGAGGAAGAAGCGATCAAAGAATCGGAACACGTCGAACTTCAATTTGAAGGCGATCATTGTTCATTGAAAGTGAAGAATGCAGAGATGAGTGATGCTGGTCTTTATACTGTGAAAGCAACAAATGCCGTCGGTGAAGCTACCAATTTTTGTCGTTTAACAGTGCAATCACCGCCAATTCCAAAAAATTCTACGATACCGCCCTCAACATCATCAGAGCCAAAGTTTTCATTAATCACACCGTCATTTGCACCATCACTTACCAATCAAGTCGTTCGAGAAGGTTCAAAGACCGTTTTCGAGGTTTGTAAATTTTCCGTATAATTTTAAAATTTGAAATTTCTAAAAGAAAAATCATACTTATATGAATTGCATCAAATTATTTAGGTACGCGTATTTGGCGAACCAACACCAACAGTTCATTGGAAGCATAATGATAAGCCGTTGTATACTACTTCGGATACACGCACGGAGAATAATATTAATGGATGGTGTCGAGTTGTCATCGAAAATACTCTTCCTCAACATTCCGGAATGTATACCGTTATTGCAAAGGTACCGATATCCTTTATGTATAGAGAAATGGAGTTATCTTTTTTATCGATACTTTTTAAATTACAAGGCGACGTTGAAAATAGTGTTGAATAGATTTGAAAATATTTGAAATTAAGTGATTACTATAGTTGAAAATAAGTGATTATTTGCAGAATAAGGCAGGTGAAGCACGATCGGGCGCTACATTGAATGTGGAATCTCGACGTGCGGCAGTAGAACAAAAGGAAACAAACATAATTCAAACCATTGTAAGCAATACCTCCATTATTCTATTGAATCCTTTTAAATTTCTATTTAGATTTAGATGGAATTTGAGGAAAAAATAAATTTTGTCTGCAGTAAAAAAATCAATGAAATTTTTTAAGGCAGAAGGTTTCTGGAGTGATTCTGCAATAATGTCATCGCCAACCCCACCTCCCATACCGAAACATCGCTATAATTCAGAAATTGAGGAATATGTTGAAAAATTGGTCTCCGAAATTGGTAATTTTTATATTTGCATCCTTAAAATAGTAAGACTGTACTGGATTTGGAACTTCCAAGCATTATTGCCAGTACTTCAATATTTTAATTTATTACTCTCTTTTCAAATTGAGGCCTACTTTTTGCAATATTTTTTATCCTAGGCATCGTCATTTTTGATAGAATTCGCTGCGAAGGATATAAAGTATCAGTTAGACAATTTATTTCAAAATGTCCTTCATATGAAATTTATCGAAATTAATGTTACAGGTTGTAGTCCCACTGCTACTGTACCGGAATTCATTCGACCATTCCAGAACGAATATATTGTCAACGAAGGAGAAAAATTCCGAATGGATTGCTTGATGATTGGTAATCCACGACCCAAAGTTCGCTGGTATTTCAACAATCAAATCATCAATCTTAATTCTAAATTCTGCACGGTAAATCACGTATCGCACCATCAACGTAGTTATTATTAAAAAAAAAATATTACGGAAGATGAACGATCATCCCTAAGTTTTTAACTTGATTTGAATGAGAAGTAAGGAATTTACATAGAGATCGTTCTCAACATCTTATATTTCCTGTAATCTTTCATTTCAAAGCTGATAACAACAATGATGCTAAAAAAGTTTAACTGGCTTTGATCTAATTTGTATATAAGCTTTAAATTCCTGAAAAACGCTGAAACCTGCAAAAGATTGTACGAATAAAAATTTATAGACCTGAAAAAATTACTTTTCACTTTTATTATTCTTAAACAAGCAAATAAAGCAAGCTGAATACGTCATATCAAGATCAAACTTATTTAATAGGCAATTAATGCTAGTAAGCGTCCTTCTGATTAACAAAAAATGTAAAACTTTTTATGTTCCATTTCTCTTAATGTTTGTTTTTTAGTTATATCTTTTATTTTATAATCTCATTTCCTCTATACTTCACTAATTTCCGAGAAAAAATGATATCATTGATTCCACAAATGTCCTCTGATGTCCCCTAATGGCTAAGATTTTTTTCTTAATCACATTCATTCTCATTCCACATTATTTGATCGCCAAGAAACAGACATCATAGATGAAATAAACATGAAATTAAATTACCATCAGTAAGTATAGAAATAATGCTTCTATTATTAAAATACGTATCTATTGGGATAGAATTTTCAAAACGTCATTTTAAAAATCATTTTAAACAATATTTTCCAGAGACTTAGAAGCGGAAGAATTACATCTATCACATTTTGCTTTGCTACTTTGAAATTTATCATTTCAGTACTGTACATGTTCAAGTTTTCAAAAGAATGCTGAACTTATTTCTAATAATTTGAGAAGTCTTTTTTTCTTTGAAATTTTGTTTTACTGGACTTTCAATTTTTTTTCAAGCAAAATACGTCCCCGAATTGAACAAAGTGTTAATATAAGAACGGTATAATTGCAGTATCGGATAGTTATCAGAGTTCAGAACTTGTTCATCTGCAGTTTCCATGAAACAATCAGCTTCGATGATAGCCTCTAAGATTGATTCTTCGATGATAGCCTCTAAGATCTTCCTTTGAGGAACATTTCAGTTGTCGAATATTGGTGATACGTATTCCATAATACTTGAACCGGCTCGTTTTGATCATGCCGGTGTTTACAAGATGACGGCAGAAAACATACGAGGTGAAACCGAATCTGTATTTGTGGTACGCGTGTTACCTTCATCCCTGAAACCTACCACTATTGAGGTTAGCGACAGAATCAGAATGTTACGTTATACTTTTTCAAGATATTTAGCAATTTATCTGTTTCATCAGAAATATGCACTTATTATTTAAAATTCTGTTGAAGCTGTTTAGGAAATACAAAATTTTTAATTTGACAAATTATTACCAGTAATGAATTTTTCATCAAAGTTTCTAACAATTTTTTAATAAGCCCTTATCTATAGCATGTTCATGTAACTGAAGAATATGGTGCTTATGAATATGAACAACGAATACCTGATGAATGCTTCTCACAACAGGTCTCATTTTGGTTTGAAAAAAAGTGAATTAAATTTTTCTCAGAAAGATATTATGACAGTTGAACGAATCAAGGTATTAGTGATATTACCACAGAGGAGAGAGAAGATTAATATGAAAACTTAATTTCATTGTTTCAAGTTAAATCTAGCATAATAACTATTCTTCAAATTTGACCACTTTGCTCTTTCCTCCTCACAACTTAAATTTCACAAAAACTGCATCTTTGTTTCATAATTTTTCACTATCTTCTTTTTATTGAGAATAATTATTGTAAGAACCAAAATTGCATTGTACTGTGGAAAAATTCATTTCTTTTAATTTACATTTTAAAACTATTCTACTTTGACACTTCGAGTTAAGAATGATAAGGCCTTTCTTTGAAATATATTTGCTAAATAAGGCCATGTCCAACAAGCAGTTCGTATTGTTGATTAAAAAAACCAATAAGCAATATACTTCAATTCTTGAATACTGAACTGTTATGGCTTCATAAAGAAGACTTTAAACAAAAGCTTTAGCTATTTCAAATTATTTCTTATTGCAATGAATGATTATTTGAAGTCGCTTCTCTTCACGAAGTCTTAAGTTTATGATTCCTAACATACTCTTTTTTCCTCTTTGGCTTAACCTGACTATCTCACTTTTTGGAAGCAATAATTAGGTGGTGTGAGGGTTAAGCCTGATTTCAGTTATAATGCATGGCCTCACATTGACGAATGAAAGCCAAATGGCTCAAGAAACTGTAAACTTATTTTAACGCGCAGTGTGTAATTGACTTTTTTGCATACGGACTCCAAACCGGAAGTGTGTAGTTACACAGAAAAACTGGTAGTCATAATTGCATTACTGTGATACTGAAGATTTATTAAGAATAATCCATGTCACGCGTTGCTTTGTTTAGTGAATTAAAATTCATATTAGTAAATCAGTTTCTAGAATTAAATAATATGCTACCAAAATGAAATGAATTATCTTTTCGAAATGATTTTAATTTTGCATTTGGATTGAAAATTAATCGAAATTGATTGAATATTTAGAAAATTTAAAAGGTTTTTTTTAGTTGGAATATGCGAACGATAATTTGAGGATGCGCGAAGAAGAGCAGCGTCGTCTAGTAGCCAAGCAACACTCTACTAGACTTCTCTCTCCTCCTCCGGCCAAAAAACAACAATTACAAACGATGCATTCCCAGCGTGTAAGATTTAATTTCGGACCACATTGGTAGATTTCATTAAGCAAATCAACAATAAGTTAAGTCGTTGTAATGTGACCATAATTCCAAATACTCTCATCTGTTTATTATTTTCATCGATGATGCCATAGGATTCTTTAGCATGGTGCCATAAGATTTTTTTTCTATGCTCTTCATATCAATAATATGTTTGATTTCCTTTCAAATTTAAATAATCAAAAGGTTGTTGACCAGTTCTTCATCGAATTTTATTCAAAAATTTTTATAATGATTAATTCAAATTTATTTATCTAATCGTCACCTTTATTAACCTTTCATTCAACTCATTTAATCTTTCCTTACTAATTTGACGACATCAATTTTGTTTTTTTCTAAAATTAACATTTCATAAGATTGATAGTAGAATTTTTCGTAGGACTGATAATGGAAATTGTTGAATTTTTAATTTTTAGGAGTCCTAAAATGGCTTTATGATTTTTGAATGATTCAATCAATAAATTTTGAAGAAAATAAATTACAATAGTTTATTTAGGAATATTGTTTGTTGACTTATTCACATTGTCACTATTAGCATAAAAGGAGCGATAGAAAAATGAATGAATAAGTAGCAAGTTGAAACAGATGGACAAGCATTTATTTTGTTATTAATTAACCGCTTGGCTGATAATTTCAAATTTTCGAAAATGATATTTAAACTTTTAGGTGTCTAATAAGTTAATTTTTTTTCATCTCCTGATTATTTTTGAGAAGAATAATATTGATGATTGTTTGCATCATTAATTCAAATGCTTATCTATTTCATTTTAACCGTTTATCAATCCCTTAAATTTGTTTCATTCGTATAAAATGACTGATGAGGTCATCCATTCAGAAAATTCATTATATGTAATATTTCTTCAATTTTTTTTGATCTTTTTAAAATGCAGTTTTTCTTACAATCAGTAACTTTTATATTTAAAAATGTAATGACCGAATTTTACTTTTAAAATGCAATCATTCTCGATTATTCATTAACCTCCAAACTTAGGTCTACAGCAAGTCATTCTGGTAAGGCGCAAATAAATCTACTAATATTCTTAATATTTTTCAAAATTTTCTCCGCAGTTTCAAGAAAATTATTCATTAAATCTACTTCATCATTCAGTATTAATTTTTTAGATAGTATTTGTATTTATGAATGATAAACAATCAATTATTTTCTTGCAATTAAATTCATGAGAGCGCATATTTTCATACGGAATTACTGTTTATTGTTGGAAGTGCACATTTTTTCACTTTCAGCAGAATTTATTAGAGCGTTATGATATTGAAGAGAGTCGAGAACTTGGTCGACCACCACATTTTACGCAAACTTTGGTATCTGTAGTGGCTGCTTGCGGTGATGAAACTAAGTTCCAAGGCATTGTCATAGGTAAAATTGCAAACTTATAATGATTTGATTATTTTAAGTTAAAATAGTCGAAAATAAATTTAGAATGCGATGTATAGTCTTTGTTAGTGATAAGTTCTAACTATTTTTCGAAATTTAAGTGAATTTTAGCTTATCAAGGATAACATCCTGCCGTATACGCTTGCTTCTATCAACTTATCAAGTTTTGTGGTATATGAGATTGAGAGAGAAGTTTTGTTATGACTACGCTTCTGATAGTTTAATAAGCGAATAAAATTGATACCTTTAATAATTTGCAAGCAGCATTAATTTTTTCCTTTTACAATCAGTAAATGATGAACATGTTATCAAAATTGTAATATTTCAATTCATTCTTAATTAGATAGTACAGTTATCTCGTAGGGTTTACTGTGCTATTTTTAGATTGATCTCCGAAAATTAAGATTCGATAGCACATTTTTTTTCCACCATTTTTTTAAAATTCTTAATAAAAGTAGGAGTAGTTGTTGTGTGAACTTCCTGCCTTAAATCTCAAGAAACAGATAGATGAAATTAAGGATTATGATCGCTTTAACTTTCACAAGTCAAAGAGCAAAAATTAGACAATTCGTATGATTACACATACTAGTTCTCTATATTTGTAGTATAAAACTTGAACTCTTGGAATGGCTTACTTTAGTTTTTAATTCTGGTGCATAGCATTCTGTGTAATGCTTTAAGGATGGCCTACTCCTGAAGTTACTTGGACGAAAGATGGTGTACCAATATCTAAAGCCACCAATCCAGAACTAACTTTCTCCAACATAGGTGGTCATGTATCATTGACCTTTCCTATTTCACAACTTGAACATTCCGGCAAATATATGTGTACCGCCAAAAATGCATCCGGTGTTGCTACTTCAAGTGCCCAACTAGTCGTCAGGCGTATGTTATAATTTTCTTTATTTGCTTAAAATTCAATTTGACAAATGGGTATTTTCAGATGTAAACGCAGAACTTTAATTTTAAACGTCAGCTTTAATAGCAATAGGGAGCTTAGACTTACATTTGTTGTATTAAATTCATTTATTTGGTTCTATTGCTCACAAATAATTCGACTATCATTTTAAATCAATAGATGTATTTTATTATTACCGTTTTGTACTGTTTTTATCATTGTATCTATTTCAATCATTTCTTTTCAAATTTCACAACGCTTGTTATATCGTTTGTTTTATGACCTGCAAATTTGTTTTAGCACGAACTGTAGCACCTGACTTTGTGCGACGGTTGATTAGCGAAGAAGTGGCAGAAGGTGATGAATTGAAATGGACCGTTCAGGTGACTGGTGATCCAATGCCAAGGATAAGTTGGATGAGAAATGGCCTGGTCATTCCACATTGTGATGAAGTTCGCCTCATTGATGTGAGTTGTTTTTTTCCTGTTTCACAATATCATTTTGAAAGTATTTTTAAGCAAAGGATAAAATTATAATTGATACTGTGATCAAATTTAATGTATTGCAAAACTTAGAAAAAATTATCGAAGCTTTGATAATTTAACTATGAGACAAAGTTGAGAGGGAGAGTATTCTGAAACAACTCTTATTCTATGTCCAATGAAATCTTAGCATTTTTTATTTTTGTAAATTATAATAAAATTCTCTTCAGGAGGGTAATGGTGTACATTCGATGGTTATTGTTAAAGTTGAAATGGCCGATAGTGGACAGTTCACTTGTCTTGCTGAAAATATTGCCGGCGAAGCTCGTAGCACAGCCGATCTTGTGATACGACCTGCTGGCTCTGAACCGGGCAGTTATTTCCATGTGACAAAGGTATTTTTTGCTAGTTTCCAAGCTTCTTGTCATCGAGACTAAATTTTTTTGCTTCATTACTGGGTTAAAAAATCCGAATTTGAAATTTTCTGTTCCAAAATTAACACTTTCAACTTCGTGATTCTATCTGTATGTCTTAATTTTAAAGACTCTATCTATATGTCTTAATTTTTTTTTTGTTTCGTTTGCTTTATTACGGCTTCTAATTTTCGCTGTTGATTTGTTCCATTTACTCTTTACAAAATCTGGCGTTCACAAATATATTCTGAAGCTGATTAAAATCTGGCAAGAAATATACTTCAAATATATATTTTACCTTTCTATAGAGCTCGTAGAGTGCTTAATTTAAAAAATCAAATAAACTCTAATATGTGCTTGAAATAGAACATTGAATATTACAGGTAACGCAGGAGAAGAAAGTAAAAGGCGAAGAAGTAAATCGAAATGAAAGTTTTGCAATTGAAAATCCACGCACTTCAGCAGGCTAAAATGCATTTTTTTTATATATCGTTGATGCTGGATTACATGCTAGTTCGATCAATTTCCTTTTTTTTCTTGTTGCGAAGTTATCTTTATCGAGTGCCATAATTATTATTGACCTTTCACCCTCATAAAGTTTCGAATATTTTTATAATGAGCTTTAGTGTTTCGTTCGTTGAAAGATATTCAACAAATGCGATAAGGCATTGCTTCAATGAAGCCTCAAATGAATGAGGCATTGTAAATGTAATAAAAAGTATGTAATCGTTGCAGAGAAAAGCTACAAATTAGGTAAGCATTGTTGTGATAAGCTATCAACAAAATGGAGTATCATTAGATATACTATACGTCTGCGTAAAAGAGGTGAGCATTGATCAAATAACTATGGAGTTGAATAAAAATTTCGTCTTTTCATAGCCAATTAATTCACATAAATTCATGAACTATGTTTATGACAAAAGGACAAAGAAGTTGAAGTACGGGAAAAAAATTAAGTAAGTGATTCATAAAGTTTCTTTCTAATAGGATGTGATTGTCTGCGGAAAGTATATCCAACCATTAACGATACGGATGTTATACAAAGAACTATTCCAGAAAAAATTGTCATCCGACTTTCGAAACTTTTCGCTAGCGTTCGTCGTCTTGTGCTGTCACAAATGAATACTGTAATGAAAATGAATATTATAATGAAGAGTTGAAGTGCGAGAGAGAAAAAAAACTAAGTCAGTGATTCATAAAGTTTCTTTCTAATAAGATGTGATTGTAATGAAAAGTTTTCCAATTATTAATTTAGAAAGTTTGTCATGTTTGACTTTAACAAATATTAAAACATGACATACAATTTGGATGCTTGCCAATGACATGATATGGTTGCGCGTTAATTTCTGGATTTAATTCGAGAATATAATTCTTGAAATGCCTGTTGGTTAGTGTTAAATTAAGTTTGTCGTGACATATAAATTTCTGCTTCAGCGGAGCGCTCATCATTACTTCTTTCGATGAAAATTCGAGCGATTGCTCTTAAAAAATTTCTAGTGCATTTCAGTAATTAAGAATTTTGTTCAATTCCTTTAGAGAAGCTCAAATCTCAAAAGCGGATGGTCTATGATAGGAAAAAACAAGTAGAAACAAATTTGTGCAAACTTAACTTACTAGAATAAGATTCAGAATAGAAAACCATTTTCAATTGCCATCGAAGCACTTCTAGCTGATTTACTGGATCTTTCACATAAGCCTTGAATGATTTTTTATTAGCGTTTTATTGAATCAGTTAAGAAAAGTTGCAAGTTTTTAATGATTTTATGTGCAAATTCATTTGAGTAAGGATTAATCTAAATTTGAATTTGTTAACAAAAACTGAGGATTGTTGCAAAGAATCTTTACCGTTCCAAAGGACATAGTAAGTTGCTTTCTACGTCCCTGTTTTTTCCAGCTTGCTTTAAACTCCGCTTTACTATTATTTGTGTCACCACCGGCACAATATCCACTTAATTTTACTTTTGGTGATGTTAATTTGGGTACCTGAACAAATATTTTAATCTGTAATAATAAGAATGATTTCAAGTTTAATGCTTTACCATACTTCTCAAAAAATCCGATCCTAAGAACATAAGAAAAATTTCATTTCTTTTTCAATTGTTTCAGATTTTAATTATATTTAATTTATTTCATTATTTGCATGACAAAAATATGGAAGCATTCATCACCTCAGTGGCAATATGTGTACCATTTAAGTTCAAGTTGTATAACTGTGCCGAAAATTTTAACAATAGGCATGGTATGCCATACTGATCTTTGAGACCAAATTCACCACTTTCAGTATTTTTCAAAGGGAAGTAATCACAACAAACGTTAATAACGAGATCTGGAAACATCAAATTTCAATTTATAGTTAATTCATAGATAATAAAATCTACTTTGCATGGAAGAAATCAATAACTCACTTATTATAATTTATTGTTTAAAGCGTAAGAAATAACTGAATTACTCCAACTAAGAAGATTGAAATTCATTTTTAGACACTTTACACAATCACAAATAGCGTTTGTCGCATTGTCTGTAGTGAATAATATTTTACATTTTGAATTGTATTTTTCATCTTTGATGTTTGCGTAGAGAATATCAGAAAAATGATTACTACAAATTTCGATCATTCAATTCAATAATCTAATCATCATAACTTTCAATGGTCAATTTAAATATCTGAATGGCAAACCTATGAAAATGATGGAAGTTAATGGTGAAACTATGCTTGACATCAGTTTGGAAGAAGAAAAGCGAAGAAGATGTAACCAAAAAGGAAGGGAAAGATGAAAGAATGAAGCAAAACAAACGACTAATCTTGATGTATTGGTCGAATGGAAGAATTGTTCCTTTAAGGCACTTATGAGGCTCATTAAAGGCACTTCCAAATTCGTTATCAGAAATTTATGTATTACTCGTCTATACCAAGCAGATTTCACTTTATTTTTCTAATATTATTGATTTGAAAATCAAATTCTTATAAACCATTTTCTCAATAACCCTACATATATCCTTAGATGATGCAAACTAGGTATGAGTAATGATAATGATCATTGATAATGATAATGATCTTTGATAACAAACATCAAAATTATCACTGGTTATGATAATGCATTAATGAAAAAGAAAGTATATTCTTCTTTTTTACTTCATGAGAACGATAAGGTGGTGATAGCCAAACTCAATATAACGCTTTTGGGATTATCATGCAGGTAAGGTCTTATAATTTTTAAGCAAGCTCATGTTATCAGTCATAAGACAATTATTTTCAAGCACTTCCTCGATAGCTCATTAGAGGATATTCTTTATCTACTTTTCTCCTTTTCCACTTCGTTTTCATCTAATATTTCACTATTCTTTTTAGACCATCTACAAAATATTCCTGATCAAATATCTGATTGTGGTAGGAATTGATCTTATTATTACCATTCATGTAATGAAAAAAAAAAATGTCCTATTCCATGAATACATATTATAATCATTGAAAGTTTTTATAGTATATTATACAGGGAAAGTCATTATTGGGGCACACTTGATTTATGTCATTATTATGAGTACCGAAGGATTTAATATCACAAATTCATAGGTTTATCATCATTCAATGAATGCGGTAATGATAAAGAAAAAAATAATGATAAAAGAGGAAATTTGTCTGATAAGTCATAAATTATCATTCTACTCAGCTAGTCAAATAAAGCTTCTTTCTTGAAATTTTGAATTTAGATAATCAGCAAATGCTTTTTCACTTTATCTGTACTGACAAATGCACAACAATACATATTTTTCAATTAACAAAAATCCTAACATAAGGCTACATGTAAGTCAAAAGTGAAGTGAGATAAAAATGAAATAATATTGAACTCAAAATAACAATCAACAGCTCGCAGTATAATCACAATGTTAAATTTTTTGATAAAGAATATCATCAGAAAATACATGAATGTTTTTGTAATGCATTTAATTAGATGTATCAATGACAGAGGAATTACTCAATGTCGTTAATGAATTAGTGGTTTCGATCGATACTGATCCAAAATTCGATACTGGAGACTTATCTTGCCTTGCTAATTTATGTGAACCACTTTCCACAGATGCAATCACGGATAAAGATTCGCTTTCATCACTCTCAAACTTTTCATCCTCGTAATTTGGACCTTCTTCACTCCTAGACTAAAATCTATCCGACATTATTCTACGGCAATTTTTTACAATTTGGAAGATTCATTGAATGAATTATTGTAACTAATTTTAACTTGTATCGATAATTAAAATAGAAATTAATGTCTTTATGAGAGATCGAACCATTTAAAACAACCTCTGAATCCGCTATTTGAGTTTTCTTATTTACTTCAATATTGAATACACCGATATCTCTGAGTAATTCACTGATTGCTTGCTGCAAATTTGCCTGGAAATTTTAACTTACCAGCCAAATGATTTATTCAAATTTATACATAGCGAAACGCTTTATCTAATTTGATTTTTGAAGCTATTAATATTCCCTTTTATTTGTTTGAAAGTATTAACAGCTTTACTTAAAATTTCCAAATAAAATTATGTCAATTTTAGTTGTCTTAAAAAGTCAAAAGATACAATTTTTGAAAACAGCAATGCCAAACATACCATTGTGACAGTCGAATTTTCTATCATATTTCTTGAAATACACTCCTGAATAACACTGAAATAAGGAAAAGCATTGGGCGTATTTCCTGTTTTAGAAATTGGAACAGTTCTAGTGTTACCTACTGTTATTTATATTTTTAATTACTATTTGCAGAAATGACTATAAGAATAAAAATCACACCTATCTGTGTAAACGCCACACTGAATAATATCATCAAGAACATCATTCTTGAACTGATCCAATTTCTCTTTCATTTCTTCAATATTTTTGCCATAAATACAACTTGCTGCTTGAGGTGGAATTTTCGACGCAGATGAGCTACGGATGACTTTCTGCAAATTTTATTTCAATCTAAAGTAAAATTCCATCAGCATTTTCTTATTCAATAAACCAAATTATCAATCTTTTATATCGAATTAGTGAAAAACTCAGTTAAAGTAAATATTAAATGTTTTCCAATCTGAGAAGTTCGATTATAATGGATGAAAACATAAATCTTAGTCTAATTAAGATATTATGTAAAAGTGGAGGTATATACCACAATGACAATTACACTCAGTGATTTCATTTCTCATAACATATATTTTGATTATAAGTGCTCTTTCATCAAATTTTTAAAAACAAGAAAAGATGATAATGTAATGCTTATATAAAATAGAGCTGAAAATTTGATATGATGAAGCAAAATAATAAAAATTTCAGCAAATAAACCTTGCATCGCTGTTGATTCCACAGCCGCAGTCGACTACTTTTGGATTGTGTAACTATTGATCGATCAGGTTGATTGGTGTTCGCGAATGTTGCCTTGCAACTTGATGAAGATGCGGATGAGTCTTTATTGCTTGTGTCATACTTCGTAAATAAACAAGAACGGTTCTGCTCGGAAACTTCATTCCATCGCCGATTTTGACAACTCTGAGCTTCACTTATTCAGCTGGTATTAAGCTGTTTCACCACATCAATTTAAAAATCTTCCTTAAAGTTCTCGGGTTTTTAAAATTGCATTATCATTGAAAAGTCTCAAACGAAATATTTAAGACTGATAGATCGGACCAAATTTCTACTACAATTTAAAAAATAATGGAAACATTGGATTTATAAACTACAATCAGGAGAAAATTTTAGAAGATATGTTGTAAAATCACCTTATCGTTAGTTTGTCTTTTAAAGTTCAACGATTGAGATCTCCTTTTGGCGAATGGTATGTAATGATAACCTGAAACATATATGTTTTTAACTTAACATTTCATTTCTTATACAACATATGCCATATAAAGTATTGTTATTTTCAAGAATTCAAAATTTTTTTCCAATTTAGTATATGAAAATTTTACAATAAAATTATGAATACAAATTTTTTCGAATTGCAGAATGACGGATGCATAGAGTTGATATCATAGTACAATTTTTTCAGAGATGAGAGGGAAACTTTTGGATCACAATATTTTACTTACAATGACTTGCAAGTAACTCTCAATTGGTGACTTTTAAAACAACAAAAATATTAACTTATTTTGATACTCACTTTTAGGACTGCAATAGAATGATTTCGGTGTCGAAGAGTCTATTCGAGGACGTTGATTGTTATTATTCATATTGCGAATTCATGTACATTCTCCCAAAAAGCAATTTTAGAGTAACTGCAATCTTAGGTACTACGTGTTGCAAATGTTGCAAATAGCAAGTTCATAATATCCTGCTGGAAGAGAAAAAGCAGAAAAGAATCAAAAAAAACTGACATGAGAAGACTGTGAAGAATAAGTTGTGCAATATTTTGCGGATTATTCCGTTACCTTGGATACGAGAAAGAGAGAGAGACAAAATCAACGTTATGTCTGGGAATGATTCATAAGGTAAACTTGGTATTCGATAGCTTTTGATAGTTATACAAATTATGCTAATTGAAAATTTTCTATAAAAGTAACTGAAGCAAATCAGCTTTAACAGTTTTTGATGTCATTATTAGTAGCAACTTTATAATACGAATAGAACGGATCGAATATAAAATTAAAAAGCTTCAAAAAATGAATATCAGCAAGCAAATTTTTGTCACATTCAGATTGGTTCCAAATCAATAATTGAAGAACAAGTATCAATTCTACTAGGAGTGTGTTGAATGGGATTACAAGTTCGAATTCGAACTGAATTCAAGAAAAATCTTTTTGAAAATTTTTTTGAAATAAAAAATCGAGTTTACAATAATTGTTCCAACAGCAGGAAAAAAGAAAGTTTGAATTTTTATACAGCTTAAGAATATGATGAATTTTTGAATTTATGATTTCGAATTGAAATGATCGGATTTAAAATTTACAATCATTCAGCATTCATTACATTGGGTGGATAAGAAATGAAATCATTCAATAGCTGTGATTTCAATTTCCCAAGAATTAATTGCTAATTTATATTATCCTGATTCGGGTCAATTTCAAAATAATATTTAGTTAACCTACCAATAGAAGGGCTTTTTGAATGGTGCAATTTTTGAATGGTGAAACGATTAACGTTTCATTGTATAAATGCTTTTGCAATTAAGAGCTTCACTTTATTTATTATGTAAACTGCTTGAAATCCCTTACACATAGCTAAAAAATTTTATTATAAAAGAAAGAAGAAAAGCATTTATCTCTCATTTCATTGCTTTAAATTTATCAGATTCGGTAGACCATCATTCTTGCAAATAGTAAGCCATTTAGGAAAGTAATATTGATTAGTGCAGTCTTTTTTTTGTTATACTACGGATAATTATTAAAGCAGAAATTAAGAATCAATGGCCGACTTGGCGGAAGCTGTGGTTCGAGGTGATATCTTGGTTGACGAGATTGATGTGATTGAAGCAGTTGAGAAAGGGCGACTTAACGCAAGTGATGGTGCTCGATTTAGTGCTATTTTGGAAAAGTATTCCAAGTTACACAGAAGTATGAATTCATATTTTTTTAATTATCCGAACTAAATTGCTGAACTATATTTAATTTTAGGATTATTTAAGCTTAAGGTTGATCTCCTACATTGTTACTCTACTACTTGTTACTCTGTCTTCAAATCACAGACTCTTGAAGAAAACCTATAGTGAGGAATTTCACCCGTTAATTAAGCTATTCAACAAATGTCTTCCACTGAACATTAACGCAACAAATCAAAATTCATTGATTCATTCCCGATCCTAAAGCTATAGCTGCATAAACAGGATTGCTTTTTTGGAATCGATCGAACAGCGAATTTCTGAGAGAAAAGAAACCATTTTTATCAATCTCTTGGCCTCGGGAATTATTTCCCGACTTACTTGAAAGAATCTAGAAAATTTCGAAATGTAATTCAGATTTTTGAGAAAACTAAACCCAAACTTCACAACTAGAATCTTCGAACTCGCGTGGAGAATATTTGGAATCAGCACAAGACGCATCATCTAAGTCAACCAAATGGGATGAAGTATTAGTGGATGAAGTGGACTTCATTGAAGCACTTAAAATTGGACGAATTAGCAAAGATGACTGTCACATAGCATCTATTAATAAGAGTAAGCAACCGCTGCATAATTTGTCAGAGCCTTTTAATTTCACTTTTTCAGCTGATCGAATTAACAACAGCGAGCAAAATAGAGATTTTTCGTTTCGCAAATCTTAGAATTTAAATGGTTAGCAATTGATTGAAATAAATAAGACGGCAGGATTAAATGTTCAGGAACAGAAATCCTCGAGGACTCGTCGGGCGATATTGAAGAAGCTAAAATAAGTTTTCACGACGATATCTTGACCGATAACGGGAAAATGTCCGATGAGTTATCATCTATTGATATCTTCATTTAATGAGCGAAATGCAAACCGTAATATCGACCGACTAATACTTGAAAACGTCGAATTAAATCAATTCAAGCATATTCCGTATACAATGTTGTCAATGTTTAAAGAGACTTGCCAATACAATCCCCAAACGTTCCCTAACTTTTACTTTCTTTGAGGACTAAGCATATTATCAAATGGTGATTTAGGAAATTCCAAATTGTATTCAATAATCCATTTCCATATCTCTGTCAATTAATTTAGGAAACGACAGAATTAACTATCTGAATTGAAATGTGTTACAGTTATTCAAATCCAATTTTATTTTGGGAAAGCAATTTCTACAAAGACAAACGGTGTAAATTAAGCGTCTGGAGATGGTCAGAACATCACTGATTTTAATGGAGTGTAGTCGTTTTCCATTACTTAGCCTTCTTGCCTAAAATTAATCATACATGCTTCCAAAGACATAAAATGCTTACTGCAAGAGTACATTGGAGTAAAAAAGATCGAAGACAGACTTGAGGATAAATTTACTGATTGATTTAGAGCACAACAGATTATTATATGTTATGCCTCCATATACCAATAAATTCAATAGATTCTTTATAAAACAAAACAGACTACACAATCTCGAGATAAACGAATTCTTCCACAACCAGAATTTTTGTTGTAAGCAAAATAAAGATAAAGAAACTTGAATACTAATCCAGACAAAATTATGCAAACTTTCAACATGAAAAATGGATAAGAAGCACATAATGTAATACCATAGTAACACAGCCATTTTAATATATCAAGTATAAACCTTCTTCAACAACACAAATTTCAAGGAGAGATTACAATTAAAAGATTCAAAGAACTCCACTAACAGTTCATGCCAAAATACATTCATGCCAGAAATCTCGGTCAATTCTTTCATAAAGAAATAAGTACAGATAAATCCTATCAGAATCTCCTTTAGGAAAAATTTTTAAGATGTTTTAAAAATATTGTGGCATATGCCGGTTAGAGTTCGCATTTCTCTGCCATGATTTCAGCTAAAAATTTTACCTAGTGAAAATCATCGAAAACAGTAACAATTGTAAAGCAAATGAACTGAAAGATAGTAAGTTATGAAAGTTCAGAAGAACTCAGGCAATTAACCCGAATGAAGCAGCAAATGATATGAAAGACATTTTCTGGTGGTTATGAAAACAATTACCACATTAGACAACGAGTAAACAGATGATTAAGCCATTCTGAGCCAGGCCAACTTGCAACAATGTTTAAAAAGAACTAATCGATATATAAACAAGATGGAGGCTACTTCAGTTCTTCATTACAGCTATCTAGCACTTTCCGCCATTGATTTACTTATTAACTATAAACGGTATATGATGATGTACGACATGTTTGAAAAATAGGAACATCGTTTGCAGTTATACGAGACTTTCACGACAATGAGTTATGTATGTCACCACTACTTTCTAATACGGTATCCAATAATAAGTTCTTTAATGGTTAGTTACTCACGCTATTTCTCCATCTTGATTTTCGATTCAACTAACTTTGGTATTCACTGCAGCAAAATAAAGTAATTAACGTGGAAGCAAAACTCTTCAGCAACCAAATATTATCCTACAATGTTCAAACAACACTCCAAAAAGATCAAGTAGATGAACAAAATGTGAAGCAAAATATTGCTTACAAGATATTATAAATTTCAGGAGCAGTAATCGGACAAACATACGTTGAGCTTTAAACTGGATAAAGTATAATTGTCAACCTCATCACACGATAACATCAAACTTAAATAAAAACTGAAATTAGGCTTTCACATTTTTCAAGAAAATATGAGCGGGGCTTGAACAAATTTAACATCATGAAGATTCTTAAATATGGCTAATGTCAACGAAAAAATAACAACAGATTAAGCGAACAACAAACCTAACTGTAGAAAAAAGTTATAAGGAAAATAAGGCACTTGATGAAGTTACTGTTTGCCTCTACTTGGACTGCCAGTGCTAGTTGTCCTACCAATTTCAAATGATTCTTCCCCATTTACTGTTGACTCCGCTCTTTGAACAATATCACCGTTCCTCTCAGATCTTCCAGTTCCATTTTCTATTAAAAATAAAAATCCATCAGCGGCTAACTAAATAATATTTAAAGATCATTGAAAATCAATCGAGAAGCAACGTGGGAGCGATCAGATCAGCTACAAGTGACTAAGTTATGTCTATCTATATCTTGAAAGAACTTGTTCGCATTACAAATACTCTCCACATTTAAGTTTACATCTAAGTCCAAAATTTCAAAGCATCATCTTTAGTTGTCTTGACCAACACCAAATTTGAAACATAGAAACATACCTCGATGCATGTAAATGAGACGGCATTCACTGCGATTAACAATCCTGGATCTCTTTTCGACAGCATGAAGAATGTCAACTTCATCAACCAAAATTCTATTCCAACCATCCTGACCATGTGAAATATCACCAAACTCTTCGACATCATCTACTACACGCTGAGGAATCCAGGTATCAGCTGCGAATATCAAAACAAGCCATAATTTCCGTGTTTTTAAACTCAGTTCAAATTTCAAATAAGATTGGTAGGTATGATGAAAAGATATGTAATATAATTACTACAAATAATTCAATCTCACATTATAGATTATTGAAACTATGTTCGAACGAATTGTGGAAAAAAATATGAAATTCTAAACTGTCAATTAAAACCTTATCAATAATAACCTCCTTCCCAAAACTAACAAAACTAACCATTGCTGCGGCATCCCATAATGTGTAAATCATTCCTACTGATACGACCCCGTTCAACAGCATGAACGAAATCAACTTCATCCACTAATACATTATTCCATGTATGCTCATCATCGCTTCCTGCAGCTGCATTTGCATCTCCTAACTCAATACCATCTAAATTTGGCAGTGGATCTGAAAAAACCAATTTGAAACTAGTGTTAGTAGCCAAATACTACTCAACACAGGTCACAATTATTGTCGAAATGCAGAAGATAACTAGCTGCAAACTTACACATTTTGGGCTTTTTAGTTACTCCAGAAAGTTTTGCAGCTAAAATTAATCTTTAATATCTGCAATTCTTTCATTTCAGTGAACGAGGCATAACTACTGACTTTCAGTGGCCATAAACATATGTACGAAATAACCAATAAAATAATGTCATTAGCAAACGAAAAAATCTACTTTACGAGATCTTTTAATCTGAAAAAAGTAACCTGCACGATTAATTCCAGAGCCGTTTTCGCCGCTCTGTCGTCGAGAATGCTCAATAACCAATGGACTAAATCGAGCAGTTTCAATCTCACTTAGTTTCCCAGAATTCACAGCATTCAGGGCATCTACTTCGTCAACAATAATATCACCACGGCTTACAGCTTCTGCCATATCAATCAAAGGCATCTTGTACAATTGTCCTTAATCTTTAAAGCGAATCATCTAATATATTTTTATTTGCAAAAAAAATTGAAAAACGCATTGGAGATATAGTAGACTTTGCAAAAGGAAAAAGTAGAGTGCGAGAGAATGAGTAATATAGAATATTTTCAAAAACATTAAAATTTGTATAGAACACATTTCTTTAATATAGGAATTTGATTTCATGCCGTAAGTAATTCAATTATCACGAATGAATGTCTTTTACTTTAACTTTAGGATAGACAATTTTATTAGATATAAAATACTGCTACAAGATGCTTTTTCAACATGTGAATGAATAAAAAAGCGCTCAGGAGTATGACAGTTTTACTGAAAGAATGAAAAATTATCTCATTTCCTCTAATCTCTCAAAATCTTCTTTGATAGAAAAAAAACCCATCTCTTATGTTTCCTGTATTTCCCATCTCTAATACCACCGACATAACAGTACAACCAACCAAATATCTTTACTCGTACCACAACGTTCAATTGCAAAAAACTACGACCAACACACCAATTTAACGCGGCCCAACGATGACTTCCTTTCACTCACCTTTAATAACTTTACCCTGCCAATGAACGAAGTGATTAACTCCTTCTAACAATTTCAAAACTAAAGGAAAACCAGAGAAATGACAAATAAGAATAGAATATCCAAATATAGCTTTTGATTCTCTTCTATTTCGAAATATTTCTGCGTGAAGCGTAAACTAGCCTTACATCCGCGCATGCTTCTCTTTGTAATGACATGGAAACTATTTTCACGAATTTTTATAAAATCTTCGAACAACTACGTATATAACTCGAAATATTCGATGTTTGACAATTAGTAAAATTATTTCCTAAAATAACAATCGAAGTTTAATCGGTAAAGATGGAAATTATCCTACCTCGAAAGTAGTGTGGAAAATGAAATTTAAATATGGAAATATGATTAAACACCTGAATAAAAATTCAATTAAAAACCGAATTCGAAGAATCATAACGCCAAAGAAATCAACCAAAAAATTAGATAAATGATTTTACGATCGATAAAAATATACAATGGAAAATCACTGTACTTCTTAAACGAACATATATGAATCAATATGATTAGTTGATAAACATAACAGATAATTTGAGGACGACAAGGGTAACTGAATTAAGAATATGATACAATGCACAGCTCTATTATGCACGGTCTGATTCAGCGTATCAAGGCTGAATCACAAGATGAGAAACAAGCAATGTTTGAAGATGCAAAATCGCTTTAACATATTTTACACCATAAAACACTGCTTCTGTCTTTTTGTTAGTTTGATACGCACTAGTTAGCAGATAACAACTAGAAATAATATTATAAAGATTAGAAATAGTGTTTACTAGAAATAATGTTACAAAGAGAGTAGTCTGGGAAATTAAAAATACGGGTCATTTAAAAGATTTTTATCTTCAAAACGTTTTTTACAAAAAAATTGGATAGTTTTAATTGCGAGAACCTATGCGGCATTTGCTGAAAATAAAATGTTATTAGTCGGTTTCTGGTACACAAAAACAAAAAGCTTTCGTAAAAATTGAGCAATAAATGAAATTAAAAAAACCATTAAGGCAATCCTAAGACACTGGATAACGACAGGCGTTATTGGTTCCAGTTGAAAATATTCAAAACGTTAATAAACCTAACTGTATTATGAGATTTTCTTGATAGCTTATCAAATAAGCCGCTTTATTAATGAATCTAACTGTATTGTAGATTGCCGTAAAAAGTTGTGATCTTTGAGAAATTTGGAAGTTAAGTTTGAAAGAAAATCATCGATCATCAGATGTTTTCCAAGTGAGAGAGGTGGTATGTGTAACAGAAATGCAGTGGACAGAATCGATACTCTGAATATTGCAGTCCTCAGGAATAACAACGGTCACTTCTATCAATGTCTTCTTTATATTATTTAATCCTCTATTAAGTGCGATAAAAGATGACACACTGCGTCTACTTTCTGTAGAAACAATTCGTACCGCTGCACTGCTATGATAATATTCAGGCCCATCACGATAAAGCATGAAATCCGCCCCACAATGAAGGCCAGGTCGCACAATCCAACCCTGACATTTAAAATACCGGTAAGTTGCATAACGCCTTACAAATCGAATTCCATAACGATTATAAAATGCCTTCCAGACAATATCCGGTACACATTCCTGTCCATCATCAGCAAATATGCGCAAGACTGAGATTTCCGCGCTGAGGTATACTGCTTCCTCCATACCCAAATGAAGTGAGTTATCCGTTGGCCATAAACTTTTCCAACTTTTAGCTGATCTGAAATAACCTGACTATACGTTCTAAACACCCAAATAATATATAATCATGAAAAACCTTTCCAATCAAAAAAGCACACAATGAAAGTCATTTTTTGCAACTGCACGTTTGAAATAATGAAGTCATTAATGTTAACACCACCACGTGTAGAAAGAAAACGAAATATATAAAAGAATAAAGAAGTTGAGAAAGATTTTACAGAAACCTCTGCAGCCACAGCGTCTTCCAAAAAAAATCTGTAGTTTTTCAGAAAATACCTAAAAAAGCCTTGGAATGATCTCAATGTGTAAGAACAAACTGCAGTAAATCTTTTCATGATGATTACAAGCAACATCCATCTTTATGTTCCCTTAAGATCAACTACAATGAAGAATAGAAGTTAATTTTATAACTAAATGTTTTTAGATGGAGTAAACAGTATCACAGCTGTTTCTAAATCTGGATTAACATAGGAGTGAATGATAAGTGATCCATTAAATGAGTAGATAAAAAATTTTAAACCACTGTCTAGATTAATGAAAACGGTATTGTTTTACCGGTTACCTACTGAAAATTCCTTTTATTTAATGATTTTTTTGGCCACATGAAACGAATCGAGAACACAGCTCTCGATTTCTATTCCGTGTCAAGGTCTAGAAAATAATATAAAGTAAGAAAATTGAATCGATTAGGGAGATGACATAACAGAGAGATATATAGTCTCAAATTTCCACGGCTGTGCTGTGCTTGCAGTGGCAATAGTCAATAAATTTTAAATGAGGTACCGACAACGCTATCAACAATTCAACCAGCAATTGTAACAACATGAATATTAAATAGCTATCAGAAATCTTTCCTTTGTCAAAAAATCCTTGATTTCTGACAAACAACTATCAGGTATCACAATGATCATTCTACTTCTGTTTTAAATTATTATTGAAACAATATTAGATGTACAGAAGAAGTAAGCTTACTATATGTTCAATGACTGGAAGTTTCTTATTTTCAAAGAATACATAAATCGATACAGTAACATATATAAGAACTTCGATAATGCTTTTCGGAATTACTTGGAAATAATAACCACTTGAAATGTGTAAGAAGAACTCGGTATGAAAGTAAGAGAAAACTGTGTGTTATATAAAAAAGCAATCTTTTTTTTGAACGTCCATTACTGAAAAGAGATTTATGAATACTGAGGAATATAAAATAAATTCTAGTGTTTCTGAAAAGAAAAAAATTCTAATATGTGACAGTATAATAAATCTCGAAATTGAAAGAGATGTGAAGCTACTGAATGAAATTCATTAAAATGAAATAAACCGAGCTTGATTAGTTTCTTAATTATTCAGTTAAAAAAAGTAAAAAAGCAAACTGTGTGAAATACTGATAACAGTGCCCCAAACAATCCCAATGCCTTGAATAAATTCATTCATCAATTAGTTACCACAAGGTCACGGCATTACCAGCATTTTCAGTTCCCTTTAATCGTTTAAGTGAACTAATTATGCAGTCTAAGTTCAAAATAAATAAAGAGTTAGTTAAATATGCCTCATGAATTATTCTAATCCTTCGAGTGAGTCTCGAATTTCTTAATACATGGACAATACAAGAGTTCACTTATGAAACGAGAAATGATATCAATTAAATAATGAACATGAAATTAATCAGACTAAATAGTGGTAAACAAACAAAGAAAGAAATTTGAAGTAAGCAAGCAAATGCAACTGTGCACAACGATGGTTTATCAAGCTGACAAATGATATCAGAGAGCGCATGTTCCATTCTTCACACTGCACTATCTATTCTCTATAAATCTAGAATATTTCTAATCTGCACTATATTGAACATATGAATACATTTATCATCTTACACTAAATGCTACAGCAAGTTGTGAATTTGGATCCTATACTAAAAGCTATTTTTTTGAAAACTAAATTTCATCTCTAGCAAGAACCACATCAAAATCATTCGACCAATTAAAAAAGAAATTTTTTTTCCTTCGCCGACCAAAGAATCGAATTATCACGCATTTTTAACCGAAGCACAATGTATATATGTCTGCGGCCAATTCCATTCTTTAACCATCAACAAATTCGTATTGAAAGAGAGAGAGGAAAAAAGCCTAAATGTGCCACTAATATGAAGATTAAAGAATATAATCGATGATAGTAATATTAATTTGTTAGAAATCAAAAAAAAGAAAAAAACCACGACAAAATTTAATAGCTATTGCTGGCATAATTTAGCAGCTGTGAATGGATGGAGTGGTTTGAAATGTCTTAGATAGTGCATGAATTGGAAAGCAATTTTCAGTTTAAAAGCAATTCATCGGCTTCATGTTGATCCACTGGGATTCAACTAAATGAAAAAATGAGAGTGACAGAAAAACACCAAGCCAAAAAAAAACAAAATATCGAGACCGAGTGCAACTCTAAATTATAATTAATGTGAAATACGAAAAACTGAAGAGCATATGTGAGCATACGTTCAGGAGCGCAAATGTTCATATTGTAATACAAATATGAAGATATATCGCAAAATATTTTCCTTCATTAGAAAAATTGAGAGTTGTGGTGTTTTAACAAAATTACAGTGACAAATCTGCAAAAAGAACTGGTTGTCTGAACCAATCGCAACTGAATTTAAATATTTAAATTTAAATTATTTAAATTAGAAAAACAAATTGTTTAAAAAAAATATTTAAATTAGCACTATTTTTTGTGGTTTTAGCCTCGTACTTATCTATCTGAAAAACTTCTGAAATTTTAGGAAATTTTGAGGAAAAACTGCTATGAATAAAGACTAAAGTCACTTTAGAAGAATGCTAATAACAAATGGAAAAAATTAAATTCATATTTAAAATTAAGGGAAAGAATTTCATGGCATCAATTACTGTGATGAGAATTTAAGAAGAGATTCTTTGTGCCAACGCAATCTGTTATGTGTCATTGCTTATACATAAGAATAATACGAGCTGCAATATCACAACTATTTTTTCATTAGTCTTACCATCTAATGATTGCAATCCAAAGGTGAAACACAACTATTCAAATACACCAAATCATTTTTGTGCTGTAACATACGGATGACATCAAATATTTATTACTAAATGTAAAAATTTTGAGAGAGATCAGAATGAAGACAGACTATTTAAGAGATATAGTAGCCAACAAATCCCTTCTATCAGAGAATGCTCGAAAATATTTGATTAAATAATTGAGAAGTGATATCTGGCAATAAAGTATTTAGAAGAAATAGTTTTATGACAGGTAAAATACATTTTGAACAATTATGAAGTGAGATTAAAAGAAAAGAAATTTGACATCACAACATTGAACAGTTTTTTTGCAGGAGCACAGTAGAAAATCAAACAGCAATATTTTAGCTAAAACGAAACTTTTAAGTCTAATGACAGAAGTAAAAAATAATGTGGATCAGTTGTAACGTAATGAAAATAGGCAATAAAAAAAGACGGAACGAGTGATAAAGCTATTTAAAGATATCTTAAATCACACTAGAAAGTTACGATTATCTCAAAAAACGGCGGTAAATTTTTTTTAAGATATGAGTTTCCCTACGATATGAGTTTTTTTTTAAACGAAATTTTCAACACATGAGAAAATTGAGAAAGTAATAAGCAAAAATTTAAGGTAATAAATTTTTTTAAGACTATAGTGGCGGTACTCCCTATGTCGTTAACATAGAATCAAGCCTATTAAAAAAGAAAAATAAGGACTCAATCTTTCTGATTGTCAGATAAATTTGACTAAGCATTGTTATCACAATCCCTTTAGGATTAATGAATCAACGAGATCAGTGAATGAAATCTTAAAATCAATGAAACCTTTCTTGTTGGTGTTGTTGATGAACATCATTTCCGAAACATTCCATTGATACACGGGGCTCACGTCGTTGTAAAAATTCACCGTAACATCCAAATGTATTCAAATCATCAGCAGCTTTCAGATCTGATACTATAACCTGTTCACCTTCCAATACCCCATAATACTTACCAATCGTAACAGATAATGGCCTTTTACAATTCTCTGCAATTCGACGTTTGCGTTCGAAAATCAATAAATTCATATAATTTTCTGAAATCTTCAAAATTTAAAAATTTTTCTGTAGTATATTGTTTGTAGTTCGAACAAACATAGCATACGAATAGAAGATAAACGATTAGATTAATAATTGTCCATAGATCAAAATAAGAACAATTTACGAAAATATTGCCAGTAGAATAACATTCAGTTTGCTAGGACGGTTACAATCCCAGCAGACGGCATGATTGATGATAAAAATAAGAAAGGGAAAATTGAAGTGAAAAAGGAAAGAAAAAGTGCTGAAGAATGGGTATCTACATTTGAAGGCATTTGCCTGAATAGCAGCACCAAATTCATGCTGGAAATGTATTAAAAGACCGCAAAACACCATATTGTAATTGAAAAATCTCCTTATCACTAGTATAAAAATTATATACTTTAAAAAATGTAAGAGATCGAAAAATTAATTTAAAACCTTGTAACTCATTTCTCTTAGATAAACGATCAGATCAAAGAGATCGGTAATAAAAGGTACCAGTCATCAGAATAAGACTAACTAATAAGTAAAGCTTGAATAAGAGGAGTGAAATAATAAATGAGATCTTCGTAATGCGCCTTAATGCGCTCAAACACAGGGATCGGCTCAAATAAGAAACAAGAAGGCGATAAAAGACAAAATTAACAAGCATTATAGCCCATCGAATCAATTTTAGCCATATGTATTTTTGATGCGTGATGAATGTTGAAATAAATTCGTTCTATAGCAACAGTCTAAATAAATCAAGAAATTATCTTTTTGTTTGTCAGATTTAAAATAAATTTCGAAAACGCTGCTGACAGAAAGGATAATCTGCAAATAATGGGATGGACATGAAGAGACACCATCATTACTTCTCCATGTATCTGTCATTCATTGATCGTAAAGGAGGATAAGAATTGGACAAGAAACCCGCCAAGATGTGAACACGAAGCAAAGAAGAAATAAAAGAGAATTTAGAAAGAACGGCACGACAAATGATGAGGACAGATGAACATTAACATACAAGACAAAAATTAAAGGCAATTAGACGGTACATAAATGTATAAATGAGATGATTTTAGGATTGTGAAAGATGTTCATCCTAACTTATTAAAAGATGGTAAGTCCGATTTATTAATAACAATCTTATCAATGTAGAAACAGGACTAATATTCTGAGGGAATCCTATCATTACCTCACACTATTTGCACCTTTTTAATTTTGAAATCCTGATTTATTTCGGTAGAGAAACTAATTTCGCCCTTTCATACTATTTGTTAAACGACATTAATTCATAGGCATTTTCGGGCAAAAAACACTTTGATAACACTTCTCAAAAACACCTTTCCACTCCTTAATAATGCCAGAGAGTAGCTCCAAGCAACTTTGTAGTGATTATAGTTTCATACTGACGGACATGGTAAGACTGCGTATGAAGCAAAACAATCATTTTAGAGCAAATAAGAAAAAAAATAAGTTGAAAATTTATAAAATTAGTCTACTACCAACTCATATTCCTTCATTTCATCGAGACATTTATCGACATGTAGTGAATGGCAGAAAGGCTGAGGATACATGACATGGGACGAATGAATGAACAGATGGACTATGGAGAGTGCCAGATGTGATAAAATGTTGCAGTCTTTCTTGTATCTGTCACTCGCTCATTATTCCCAGTGGAATTCAAACTATGTGATATGTATGTTCCTTAACACTGTACGCTAGCTGTCGGCATTACAAGCAAACATATAAACACATATATCATACACATTCACACAGAAAGTTTTTGTCACAAAAAGCTAAAACTTTTATTACAAACTACAATGGAATGTAGTTTGTATATAGGAAACCCGATTGCATAAAGTAATAGTCGGATGTTGTCGTCATTCAACTTAATTCTATTCACAATTCCATAAATTTAACAATATGTATGAATCCCACACCATAACACTATATTGCGGGCTATTCCTATTAATAGTACGGACTTCAAATGACCAGAAATGCAACAGTGTGACAGCAAAAATATATGCAGTTTTAAAATCAAGTTTGATGGAATTGAAGGTTCGTTTTTGCAATACTAAAAAATTGTAAATTTTCAATGAAATCCGTAAAATACTAAGTAAACCAAAGTGTAATTCTCAGAGGCACATGATGAGGAGTGAAATTCGTTGCCTGAGACAACAAAAGAATATGTGTTGTACAGAAAAACATCAAATGATACACTGTGTGGCGTAATCAATGGATAATCCAAATCACATCTTTAATCATCACTTACTTCTACTAAAGCGAGGATTTTTTTTAAATGACATAAATCAAACCACCAATTACTATCATATGAACCCAATTAAATGAATCAAACTTAACAAAATGTAATCCTAAACAAAACATCCCCAAAAATGACATTTAAATAAAAAGAAAAACGGACAGAGAAAGTTTCTCGTGTGCAAAAAATATCATGCACTTTTTAATGCGCTTCTGCTAATGCATTTTTTAAACAATTATAAGTAGAATATTACAATGATAAATTATTCGCAATGACTTTCGCAAAATACCGATTTTTAATTATTATGCGAGATCAGACTTCAATCAAAGATGCTACAGTGCTTAGCAGAGTAAATTATGTAGCTCAATTACTAGCATAGACAGCATAGTTGCCGGGTCCGATAACTTACGGTTACCGGTTCGATAACTTACGGTTACCGGTTCGATAACTTACGGGCTACATATGCTTACTGAAGTTTTAGATGAGAGTTAAGAGTGCTAACGCTTGAATTATGCACTGCACAATACTTATTTTTTAAGTTCACTTAGTAAGAATAAAAAATCGCCGACCAAACAGGAAGCAAAGTCATATTTTTGCGGATATGATAATGAGTGCTCCAATACCAATTAAAAAAATTCATTGAGGTTAGTTTTGATAAAATGGAAAAATGATCTTCTCGTTAAACCTTCTGGACTTTAAAATTAATCGTCGCCTCCATAAACAGATGCTGCTGGTGTATACGTTGGCGTACCCTTTCCTCGTCCGCGACCACGACTCCGTCCACGTACAGCGAGATTACGAACAGTCAATACGTCGTCATTACGTTCCTAAAAATCGATTTTTTTGGCAAAACATCACTCAAGTCTTTTTAACAAATTATTATGTGAAGCCAAGATGATGGCATTATGAATTCAGTTGTATCGCAAAATACTGAGTTGTATATTTTACGAATTGCTCGTTTGATATACTCTCCAACTGTAAAGTTGAACATTTCAATTCGTGCATAGTCAAATTTATTGATACCTAACTATTCACTACTTTCACCACCCATTCCTTTAGACATTTCGACAAAAAAAGTATAGATAATACAAAATATTAAAATAACCTGTAAAGAGGCTTTGTAAATCATATAGGGCTCTTCCTTAGCAAATGTTTCACCGTGTTTTTCCAAATATCGGAGACTGAAGACAAACAAAAGTTAAGCTACATACTTTGAAACAAAAGCTTCGTCCTCTAATTAGTTTAAGAATAATTCTACTTTTTAACGATTTACACATTGAATACATAGTCCACGGTCATAGACACAAATCTTTTCCAGTGTTCTGGAATGTATATCGCAATATATGAAGTGCAATTTAGTTCTTAAATTTATTTTCAGTGAGCACCACATTTCTCATGCATGATAATTATGAAGACTTACACAGAAATTTTGTCCTGTCGTAGCAATCTGTTACTAAATTCGCACAAAATCTCGAGAAAGCTTAGATTTGTATGCTGAATATCTCGGGTTATGCCTTCATCGTTTTTCAGGGCAAACACAATGCCATCCCTGAAAATTTAATCTCTAAACTTATTACACGCGATATTGCTAACATACTCAATGATCAAGTGTCATGTAAATATCTCACTTATGAATAACAGCCAAAGCTTCACGGCTTTTAATCGGATCGGAACCAAACAAACTAGAAAAACGTTTTGCCAAATCACGAATTGAAATAAAATCATCCGAATTTGGATCGATACAATTTCCTTCCGAAGCTCGCTAAAAAGGGAGAATTAGAACGAAACACAAACCAAAAAATACAGCTTGGAAAAATTTTTACAGCTGATGATTTAACAGTGTATATAAAACAATATACGATGAAGCGGGAAAAAAAATGAAATCATCTAAATTAAAAGCATTATACCTTGATTTCCTCATAATGATGACATAGTGCTGTTGCTACCGCTCTTGCGCAGCTCAACCGATCCATATCGCGACATTTTGTGAGTAAAGTTTTTAAAATATCACCAAAGTCGGTATAGAACTATAAACAAGCACGAATTTAAATATGGCGGCAAAAGAAACAATTAACATAAAGATTCAACAAATATATACCTTCGTATAGAATTGTAACACTACGCAGGCTTCATAAATTGGAAGGATACCATGCAATATCAGCTTGCAAAATTGAACTAGTATTTTTCGCCGCTTGTGCATCAATTCCACTTGTGTCTGTTGATCCAAGGACCGTTCTATATGAAGACTATCATTAGCAAGTATAGCCGATTATCATTGAAATATTTTAAATCGTAATAGATACTTCAGGAGATAGGTATTAACAGATTTCACAACCAAGTTCTGTCCCTATATTTTTCAATTTTTCAATACGAATGTTTACATGATAATTGAATTTGTTCCTTTGAACACTTATTATATGGAAGCGTAATGTTATACTATGTTAAGTAAAAACAAAATATATAACCTGCATCGTTCTCTTCCACAAAAACGTTATCTTCCACAAACATTGAAAGTGCTCGCGTAATGTCCTTGTTCAATTCAATTGACAAGCTTTTATCGGGTAGTCCATTGAACATCATTAAAGCATCGACAAAGCACAAGAATGCCTTCAATTTATGAGACGTAAAATAGTTAACACTTATTTATTGAATATGTAAACAAGAAAGATAAAACCACTGACATTTTCAACACCCGATGCACCACTCATCATTATTGATGTAACCAATGCAGTGAATTGATCCCTATGCTTCCGCAATTTCTTTACCGCCTCCTAAAAATAAACAATTGAAATATTTACTACTCCTTCAACTACATATTCTGTACGTCTAAATGATCTAAACGGCTAATGATATTTCCTCAATACCATATTTTAGTTATTAATATTCTCAATCACACCTGAAAACAAATCACAGGATAAACAGACAGATGAAAATCCAGTATATCCAATAAAATCTGATGCAAAGTCACATAAAATTACGAGGTAATCACATAATTAATGATTCAACAGCGAACTTATGTCTTAGCTTTATCAAAATAATCAAAATATGTGAAGCGAGCACAGAAATCTAAACTAACCGTTTTATTTGGTTCCTGTTCAGTAACCAAACGATTTATATCCCAGCTTAGAGTGGCAAACAGTAGAACAACAGCTTTTTCGCCAACATCACGCGAAACTTGTTTATCTTCTGCATTTGTCAGCACACTGAGTGCGACATCCCATAACTGCCACTTTTTTAAATCTTCGAACCTAGAAAAAGAATAAATTTCACCATCAATTTACTTCTCAACCGAAACTTCTTTTTATACAAGTAAAAGGTTTTGCGAAGACCAAACATAGGAAACATACATTGCAAAAGCTGTAATTTTACGAAAAGCTGCGAGCATGGCAGCATCGTCTTCTTCATCCACTGTTTGTTCTCGATGAAAATGCTGTATGGAATGCCGAAGCTGTAAAGCCAAACCATCCAACATTTTCAGATGATGTGTTTCTGTATGTTGTGCCACCTGCAATATAAAGAAACTAAAACTTATGAGGTCAACTCCTGATTTGCAAATGAATGGACAAAAAATGTTTGCACATAAGGACTTACAGCAACATTGGTTGTGAAGTAAGACATTACTTCTGCAACGCATTGAAGAATTTCATCATCCGCATGTTTTTCAACGATGCTTTCCAAAATACTCATCAACTCATCTAGATGCTAAAAGAAAATCAGGAAATTGGAGTGGAAGCTTTGAATAGAGAATTCTCAAACAGAGAATTCAGCAACATGAAAAAAGGCAAGATGCGAAATTCACCTTCTCCAGCCTACTAGCCATGTACATATCGAGTTGAAAATGGAGTGGTACAGTGATAAGGTTCGCCACTTTATCTCGATCAGCTATAAACTGAAAAAGATGTTTTATAGTGCAAGTATATCATAAGTGGAACTAAATAGGCAGTATCGAAATTCTGTAAAAAACGTGGTACTGCAGATTCACAGAAGGCGGAGATGAATCAGGAGAAACATAACTACAAATATAATAATCAGTGAAAATCATGATATACATACGCAAATACTTACACGCTGAAGAAGTTGTGGTAATTGGGGAATTAGCACTTCTGAAAGTCGAGCTCTGTCCTCTTGCAACAAGCGAACATCTTTATTGACAACCGATCCTTTCCTGGATATATGAGCTCGTCCAATTGGACTTTCACCAGAAGCTGCTTGTTTTGCAGAACACACCAACACTTCAATCAGCTCACTTTCGAAACCATCGGCTAAAACGATTGCAGCAAAAATGACTCTAGTTCCTGTTTTTCAAAAACACATAAACTATGCTTAGAGACCATGAGCGTAAAACGGCAAAAAACTTTATTAACTTATCGTCTCTTATCTTTTTCATAAAAAGAATACTTTTTCTTGAACAAGTTATCTTCTATAGTCAAAAAAAGAAAATTATTACCAACCTTCGCCAGAAAGTAACAAATCTGCCATTGTTTTCCAGTCTTTGATCATTGGATTAGTGTCAATAAGAGCATCAACAAGATAAGCCGCATGATCATGGCACTAAAACGGACAAGATACAGCAAGAAAAAATTCTGAGAATTAAACAAATTAAAGAAAACAAAGCATTAAGATGCTAACATCGCCTTCCACAAAGAATTGAACCAGATCAATTATTAATTGCTTTGCATTGTCGTTAGAACGGTTTTTCTCTGGCACAAGCACTTGCAGATTTTGGAATACCTGAAAGTTACTTAAGAAACATTACATGTTACGCATGAGTAGACAGAGGAAATTGACTGCATCAAAACTTTATAACCTCAAATTATTGAACGTACAGCATTCTTCATTCGTCTTCAATCTTTAAAGCTATATAGTTTTAAATCAAAATTTAAAAAAAAGTATTCATTTAGCAAAAAGGCATAAAAAACTTTCTTACTTTTGTATTTAAAAACTCCCCAGCAGCCTGAGCCAGACCGCGATGATTACAATACACCATCTCATAAATGGGTACACAGTCTTTTAATGTCAAAGTCGCTGGATAAATACGATAGATTTCTGTCAACAACTGACATGCGCGTACTGCGACATCGCTATCCTTATCCATGACCATAGTAACAAGGCGATCCTTGAACTTGTTCGTAAACAATTCCAATTTCTGTGCCATATGTGGCTGGCTGTACAGTGGAAGAAGTGCCAAAATACATTTCAAACGCACATCGCTAATCTGAACAAGGAAATCAGAAAAGGAGATAACATATGTTCAGAGTATATCATTTCAAATTTCTAACCTTATCATACAAAGACCAGCCGATATATTTAAGATATGAATCTTCAAGGAAATGGTCTGGGTAGATCGACATCCACTGACCAAGTTCATTTATGCAAATACTTCGGATATCTGGTACAACATCACTAAAATATGCTCGTCGATTCATAAAAAACAAGAAATCTGATCACTTCTTCTAAGCCGAAAAATAAATGCAAGACTAATTTCAAATTTTCAACGAATATAAAAATTATCTTCTAAAACCAAAAGCAATTCAAACTTGAGCGCAATTACTAAGTGAACTGTGAATTAGAACTTGATAAAATCTAGTAAACAAATAGATTTCAAACAAATAGATTTCAACAAATAATACCGATAGCGATGCACAAAGACACTTTTAAAAATATAGGTTAGCATCTGCCTGATATCCTCGGTTTTATCATCGATCTACAGAAAAGAAAAAATTGCTTCTCTGATTAATAATAACGACAACCACCAATATATTTATATATATAAGACGTTAAGAAAAGTACTGCACTGAATGAATGGACAGACTTGGCATAAAAATCATCTCTGAAGAAAGACAAGTACTTCAAATAGATAAAATCCAGAACTAATTTTGAGGAAGGTTTTGAAAATTAATAAGGAACTAACTTCGGCCTTTTTATTGATTAATATATCAAGACGACTGTTTGGTCCTTCGGCCCTTAACTTCGCTTTTTCAGTTTCAACCTACAAAATAAAATCCATGAAGAAAATAAAAGTAAAAAATAAGCTGATTACCCAACGCTATACCTGTCTTATATTCTTCGCTTTAAGATCCACTAACTCCAAAGCAACATCTACAAGTGCGGATGATAATTTCATCGCTGAAACATACACTCAGTTAAATATAGAGATTATATATTCCACACTTCTAAATATTTTAATTCGTCATAACAAATTTTCGGCAGGACCAAAACGCTCAAAATTTCAGAGGATACAATCGCGATCACTCAAATATGCCCAAACTGCGATGAAACAAAGCAGGAAGGATCCTAGCATTAAAAAATTTACAAGCAAATGTTTTCTGTTTACTGGAAAACTAAGGTAAAGCTTAAGTTGTATAGTTCTTGAAAGAAGCTAATTTGATGCAAACCTATAAATGTAGATGTATGTCGAAATGCGCGCACCTGGCTGTCAGCCAGACCAGTGAGTAGTTGAATAACACCATCCATCAGCCGTTGATCAAATACATAACTCGATTTACATTTGTTAACCAAAAGCTATAAATTTAAATGCAATTAATAAATCTGTAGGCAATGTTTCATCTTTTCAGTGAGAAACGGACCATTTTCTTACTAATTAAAGCCCAAGTTGAATATTTTCCGAAGCAAGCTACTCTAAGTAAACTCATGAATGTAAATGTACATCGAAATAACGAATCTGGTTATCAGCTAATTTTGTGAGTATTGAACAGAATGATTTTTCTATAACTTCAAAATCAGAAATAAATCTCAATAAACGTCTGAAAGATGCCTAAAGGAAAAAGCTACCAAAACAAAATCAGCAAGCGTTTGTTTGAATCTCTTCCACAGAGGTCCTGGCATAACCAAAGGATAGTCCCCAGTATCTTCATCAAACTGATCAGTCATCTGACGAATTATTTCACTACAATTAAACAGTTAGCTTTAGAAATATAAATAGCTTAAAAGAGTGATTTATATCAAGATCGAACAGCGGTTTCACTCTATTAAAAGATGTACATTATAACCTATAAAAAGTGTAGACTAAGGAACAACCATAATTCCTATAAATTTATTATTTAAATCACCTATACTCCATAGTTTGTAGCATAACAGATGAAATAATTCCCTTGCATCCACAACATGAGATGAAGAACTGTTGTAATTGTACAAGAGCATTATCCGGATGCCTCTCATATTCTTCGATCCAGTTATCAATTACTGTCTGAAATTTACTTTCCGTATTAGCTTGACAGAAATTACATTGCTTTACTATCCGTATCGATGGAAAGACATAATTGGACATTCACATTTAAACAGCTTTTTATGTTTGTCTTCTTTGATTTTCATTCTCAATGAAAAATAATTGTTACATGTAAATTTTTGCCACTTTTAACCATACTGAGAAGACTGCTTTCATCGGCATCTTCCTGAGAATATGTGCCGCTTGTGCGACGACTAACACCTCGAGCCCGCGAACTGCCTCGGGGACGCCCTCGTCTACTCTGAACGTATTAAGAAATGATATTTAATCAGATGAAAGCCAATTATAAAAATAGTTTTTATTACATAAAGTAGAAAAAGCAAGAAAAGTCCAACAGTGGTTGGTGATTCAAGCGATACGGCGACACCTTCCTCATATGATCGACGTTTTCGACCACGTGTGCTCAGCGTTGGTGTTCGAAACAACGAGTCTGTTGATGACTCCATATGAAATTCGGAATGCTGTTGTTCATCCTCCCTAAAACACTGACTCGGTAAAAGAAACTTCATCAAACAGTTAGTCCTGAAGGTTTTTTTAGCTGAGAGGATCTGTCTCGTTTATGCAAAGAAATATATCTTTAATTGCATTGCTAGACAAACGAAATCTTACGTACAATGAAAAAAAGATTGTGACACTTTAACTCATAATAAAAGAGAAGGATAAGTCAGTAAACAGGAAAAAGCAAGCAATATGAACAAATCTTTAATCAAAAGTATTAAGCTAACAGTTAATTTAGCATTATAAAAGTAGGTTAATTCTTGTATAATAGCCGACACGTTCTTCTATAACACATTTATCTCATCATAAAACACAACTGCTACATTCATGTCATGGAAATTATATAATAAATCAAAAAAAAAAAAAACAAAAAACAAATTTTGGATCGTGAAGAAGCGCTGCATACAAGCCGTAAATTATGGCATAACTCTACAAGAAAAAAAATGACTTACGAGGAGACGTGTGACAAGCTCATCGAGCTGGGGGTGCTATCTATGTGTCCCGAAACAGGTGAATCCACATATTGCCTCGTAATTCCACGCGTAGTCATACGGTAACCCGTCTGTTCATCTTCTTCCATTCTTGCTGAAACATTCACCATATCATTACTTAAAGATAGGAAAAAAAAATCCACAACACCCTGATCCGCGCAAACAACTCGAACCTCACTTACCGCCTACTGCCTAAGAGCTACCATCGATATTCGCGACAGGCAACATCTCTAGCTTAACACTCCATGCGATTTCCTCTTCTCACTGTCTACCTCTCGCAGTTGCCAAGTATTTTTTCAACATTTAACATTGAAAGACCGAGACTGTGAACAGATTATGAACTGGTCAACATTTAGCATTGAAAGACCGTGATTGTGAATTGTAGTTGACCTTGAGAAAACAGAAACAGAGGGTAGTTTAAAAATTGTATCAAAACAAAAATGATACACTGCATCAAGCATGCTTTTCACCCTAACAAGAGAGTTAGAGCCCTGACAAAGTCCATACGCATCTGAGGAAAACTAATAGTACAGTTCGATTGTTTTATCTTCTCTCACTGCCAGATTGAACCTAACAATTGCTCTTAGAGATGAATGCAAATTAGTGGCAACTTTCTTGTTTCTCATTCCCATAGTTTGTATTTAAAAAATGGGAGGGAAGTTTTAAATGCATTCGAGAAAAAAGTAAAAAGAGAAAAGCTTCCATCTTTATCTTTCAATGTCCGCTGACAATACAGTAGCAAGATTATTGAAATTATTTGAGACAATATTATCTAAAATTATGCAGTGATGCTCGATCTCTTCTACATTTATTATGAATGCTAGATCAATAATATAGCTTTTGCCCATTGAAATCACTTAATAGAATTTTGATCAATGATTTTCAACTTGTCCAATATTCATTTCATATATGCATTAAAAAAAACCATTTCAAATTTGAAAATTTTTTTTCGTAATAATCAAAACGAAAATGTTATTAAATTATTGCATTATGATTGCAATTTACATATTCGAGATTGGAAGACCATAAAATGCATTTCTAATTTGAAATGTTATCTTCTTTTTCACTTCTACATAATGTAAGCAGTTCTACCATTATTTCTCTCAGTTTGTATACATATCCTGAACTTTTAGATCGACGATTTGTTATTTTTAGGGAAAATCGAGAAAGGAAACCGGCGATAAGCTCAGTGAATGATATTCAACCGGAATTACTCAAAGTGCTATACAATTTGCCACCGAATTTTGAAGTCCAAGTCAAGAATGTGGAGGAAAAAAGTGGAATCAAAAGAGAACATGCATGCTTCCTGAAAATTCACTTAGATTTCCGTGCAGTTTGAAAATATATTCAGATTTTAAGTTTTCAAAAATTTCTGTAAAAAATTTTAGACATATAATTTCGGAAAGTATCATTTTGCATATTCACAAGATAAAGAAAAAAATCAAACAGTTTTATTAGGTTTTATAGACGTAAAATCATATTTACTAATTGATTTAATTCAGTTTGTTTATGGCTTATCAGCTTTTTTGGCCCTTTATATGATAACTGGTAGTGAAGCTGGTCTCTTGTGCAATATTATTTGTTTTGCTTATCCAGCCGTTGTTAGCATTCAGGTATATACTTCCACAATCAGGATCTTTCTTTCATTTACATGATCTATATAATAGGTATGTTTATATCAATTTAATCGAATCATAGAAATTCCGCATAGTCAATAAGAAATGCATGCTAAATTTACTTTTTATTATAAAATGTAATGATAAGTTATTGAAAGAAAAATGATAAATTACGCTTTCATTCCCGGTTATGGAAAAGAAGCTGATGGATAAAGCATTTTTATTATTACTATACTGGATGGTGTTTGCATCCTTCACATTCACTGATTATTACTCCGAACGGATAATGAGAATTTTTCCTTTGTACTGGATCGTCAAGGTAGTGTGACTTAATAATCCACCGCAGTAGCATTGAAAAAAGTGGAGATTTTCGCACTACTGAAAGAATTGTTGAAACCATTAAAAAGTTACAAAATATTTAGAGATGCCAACTAATTTATTGTTTGTTTTGACTTTTGAGCACTGCCTATTTAACTGGGATACTATATTTATTTTTTCATAACAATGCAATTATGTTTTACAGTGCATCTATTGTATGTATTTGTATTTACCACAAACAGATGGTTTAAATATCATGGAGGAAAGGGTCATTCTACCGGCATTGCAAAAATTTGCTAAAAATAGAGCAGGAGAAACTCCACAAAACACATTACCGTAATCATCATAATGGCACTGACTTTTGTTGGTATTATTTGTCGGCTTTATCTATAGGATAAATAATCGATGATTTATTGATGAGTGATTTTTTACTCTTCATTATGCTTATCCTATATTTATCATGAATAAGTACTGATAAATTAAAGCTAAACATGATACTAATTAAAGTTTTATCTATCTAAAATATGGATATATTCGTAAGTACTTCCTAATGAATGCACGACAAACTAGTTCACATAATGAACATAAACTAAAATGCAGTTTGCCCAACATTGAATGACCAAAAGATCTTATTCCAAAATAACTTGAAGGTCTTATCACTGCTGAAAGAATGATAGCTTAACAGAGTTAAATTCTTCAAACAAAATTCTAAGTTCTACGCATAATGAGTCAACAGAAATGATAGGAAACAGATAGGACAGAATTCAACTTTTGTTCGAAATTGTATTCTGTCCCACCATCTGTTTCCTATCAATTTTATGTTAACTTAGAAGTTATCATCCGTTCCGCTTCAACTAATTGAAAAATAACCGGTTCTATCTTACACTGCATATATTTTTCGTGGCATTGCAAAGAGTGATTCATCTTGTGTTAAATATAGACCTCCATTTGCTCTCAGCTGTCATTTCATTTAAGAACTATTCAGTCATACTCTGCCACCTGCAAACTTTTTGTTGATCAAGCTTGCTTACTGCTTTGTACCTATTTATCCTTTCTTGGATTTATATTACCATGAAATAATACATGCAGTATTCCGGTAGACAGTGACATACTGTATATTTTTCACACAATCACACCACTCAGTCATCACATACTTAAGCACTTCTTCAATCCTAAATAAGCTGAAATGAAAATATAAGCCTGAGCGATTTTTTTTGGAGGAAATGCAATCTTTAGTCTGTTCTGAACATATTTCGTGAAAAACTACGACAGTTAACATTATGTACTCTCGAAATGACATATGGATACATAACTGATACGACAACTGTACAGATATAGGCACAGGCAATCTTTCAAATCTAACATTGTGTACTCTCGTACTTTCATACTACTTTCATCGTAACTATGAGATAAGAAATTACTGAAAAAGTCATTTTTGCTGATTATTCCTAAAAATTAAAATGAAATTAGATTTGACAGGTTGTTGTGCCTGTCTCCGTGCAGTTCCCAAAGCAATGATGTGTCCATATGTCATTTGTTTTCACACTAAAGCAAATATTAATTTATCCAAAGAAAGCTTTTCATATTTCAACAAAAACAATTTAAAATCTTCCTTCCTATGTTTACTGTTGTTTTTGTTAAAAATTGAATAAACGACTAATTCCGAAATTTATAAGCGTAATAATAGCCTCGCTCGAGACTTCAAAAGTAATACAATATGAGATGCGATATTATGAAGTAATTCAGATTGGACAGCCGGTATATCTATCCCAAGTAAGACATTTAGCATGGTCATCCCAGAGAGAGTATAGCAATTACTAGATCTCTCGGATATCGAGAGTATCGAATTGTCAAATCCTTTCTAGCAGATACAAACTTTACTTACCCTGACAATATTATCGATGTATGTCAGTTTAATACTGCAAAGAGTATGCTGGACATTATGATATGACGACCGAACGTATGCTTGAAGTTTGCATGTTGTTCGTTAGCTTCACTTTGGTCGCAAGCGCCCCTTACAAAGTTTGAAAAATCTGGTTAAATTTTTTTGAGTTTTCGAGAAGTCAGTTGAATTTAGTTAATTTGAGGACAGATGACATTTTTAACTTATGACAGATATCACAGGAAGAAATGTCCCTCTTTGCCTTGATATGGCGGTATTTCTACATTTATTGGCTTTGCTTGGAATTAAGAGATTTCTGCAATGTTCTTGAGACTTGACCTTTTTGGTTTGAATTTCATTTTATTTGATATTTAAATGATTTTCATCGCTATTCTAAGTAGCAATATCAAACCATTATATCAATTTTAAGCATGCGATGGATATTGCTTCATATAAGGTATGATCGCGTACGATAGAATGTCGATTTATTCTTAATCGTTGCTTCTGTAGCGAAGAAAGAGAAGAAAAATGGTATTAACAGCTGTGCTGTCTATGGCTCGCTATATTGGCGACATAGATGATTGGGATTTTGTCGATCGCTTGCATAGCTATTTCACTACTAACATTCTTATCGCATTTTCTGTCCTCGTTAGCTTTAAAGTAAAGCTTTTTTTATTTCTTAAACAAAATCATTATACTCCTTAAATAAGATGGAATTTAAATGGCGTGGAATATATTTGTCGGGCAGTGAAGTAGAAAGCTTTCTTTGCTATCCAAGTGTTGCTTTTTATTGTCTTATTTATTTCTCTCTCGTTCCTTAGACATTAATCATTATATTTTTACATATAACAAAATGGATGTCAGATTTATGTTCTTTATTCCACTTGATTTTTAGTTTTATGTTCTATTACTATTAAATTTTTCGACTACTTTTAGCCTTAATATTTTGCTTACGACATATAATAGGTTTTACAATGTTACTTTGTAACGGAAGAATTCAGAAGGTGTTTTCATGTTAGATTTTTCAAGTCTTCAAAATTAGAAAATTTTCAGCTTAATACCTATGCTGGATTCAGCTCTTTTCTTCACATTATTCATTATTTATTTAGTCCTCATTTCAGCAGTTTGGTGGAAAACCGGTGGAATGTTTGGTACCTGATATTTTTAGTGGATCGTGGGAACAGGTAGACACTTCTGATTTACCTAAATTTTTAGAAAAGGAAAAAGATTAAGTGCTCGGATCCTTATCGCATTATTTCTCAATCAGCTGTACAAGATTTTTTTTTTAACAGCTATGTACTACACATATTATTATGTTCAACACATCTCCATCAATTATTTAGTTGCTCTGCACAAGTATTGATACGTCTTTGTGCCCTAAATATCTATTGTGACTTGTTTACCTCAATGCATTGATAATCTTGTTTACTGAGCTGGATAAGCTGTGCGACATAGAGTGCTGTTTGGAAAGTCTAAATTTTAATATTTCAATCTCGAACTTTTTTGTCGAGGAAATTCAGGACAGAATTTTTTAGCCTTTTCTATTATGGTGTTAAATGGCGCTTATCCCATTGTAATTAATGTCTGAACTAACTGGTAGATGATAATTTGAGTAGGTTTTATTTCCAATTAATATGAAATAGTCAGTCTTTATAGTATGCAGAGAATTATTGTTGGGCTCAAGATACGTACTATATACCGATACGTGAAGTGGTTGCCGGTATACCAACCACGGATAAAAAACAACGACGTATATCTTACTACCAATGGGTACCATTCTTTTTGTTAGTTGAAGCAGCCTGTTTTCGATTGCCTAGTCTTGTGTGGAAATATATGGCTGGACATTCTGGTATAGTTTTGTTATTATTGTTTTTTTTTGTGAGCCATTTTTAGTTTAAGCATATCTAATGGAACAAATTACCTTAGGTTCTGATTACATTTATTAGTGATGGCTTCTTAATGTTCGAGTCTAGCAAGTTTTCATAGGATATGATTCATTTCAAGTTAACTTCGGATAATATATGAGCAAATTTCTTTTGGTACAAAATATATGTGAGTGCTCATCTTGAACAATTGGAGATTTTCAAAATTTTGATTTTCGTATGAAGTATTTAGTTTAAAAAAACAACTGCATTATATAGAATTTTACTTTAATTCTCATTTATTTAAGGTATTAAATTGCATGAAATTGTTAAGTTGTCATCGGATCCGAACAACATCAAACCAGAAATTAAAAAAACCAATATTAAATCACTTACTCTGCACTTACATGTAAGTACTTCAATAGACTTCTCATATATTTTAACAAAATTTTATTATTAACTTTATTGAAATTGATTATTTTGTAAAGATATGAAAACAGAAATAGAACCTTTAACAGCTGTAATTTTTAAGATTTTATATGTTTAGGGAGCTTTAAGGTTTCATCGAAGATTGCGAAAGAAACAGATTCGTCCTCATCGTTATTTAAGATTCTTCAATATACCTTATACATCTTCATTTGTCACTTATACATATGTATTTACTAAACTCCTTTATCTGGTCAATGCGTATATTCAGTTATTAATCATGAACAGGTTGGTTAGATTATTTTTCTAGTACAAACATATTATGAACATTCATAGCAATAATTCTGAGTGTCATCTTTCAAATTCAGATTTGGCTTATGGCTTCCTTTTTTGTGAACCTTCCTCAAAATTATTTTAATGAATATTGAGTTGAAGTTGATTAATATCTTGTGCAAATTGGTGTTCTCTCTTTTTATTTCCATCAAATAAAAAGGAATGCAAATTAGTGTTTTCTCTTTAATTTTAATGAAATCGAGATATAGAATAAAAGTTCGATAAAAAACAATTCGGAAAATTTTATTCATTGATGTTAGTTACTTTAAACTTCGGTTGTGTGATATGTCGGTTTTGTAGATTTCTTGAAACAGACCGTTACAACTGGTATGGATTGGGGGCAGTACTTGATCTTCTTAATGGCACAACATGGGAGCAGTCAGGGATGTTTCCACGAGTGTCATTATGTGATTTTGACGTAAGCATTTTTGAAATTTCTATTCATTATCTCATCTACAGCAGTTGGGAAGATACACTCAAGTTGACCATCTTTTTTAAATGGCCACTTTAAGGTTCGCGTGATGGGAAATATTCAAGAGCACACCATACAATGTGTCCTCGTTATCAATATTTTCAATGAGAAAATTTTTATATTTTTATGGTTTTGGTATGTTGTTCGAATTATGATACTTTTAATCTTTCTGTTTCATTGTGAGGGTTGATTTGCTTTATGGTTGTTCAGAAGAATGTCGCTTCTACGGTTACAGTGATTACTCTATAAGTCCAATCATTAGCATTTTTATATGTGTTCTGTTAATTCCACAGATAAAATCGACCAAGAATATTCACTCAAAACATTAATTTCATACTTTCTACAAAACTATTGAGGTATATTACAGGTACTTGGCTTTAATAATTTTTACAACTGGCAGTCTAATATTCTGGATTGCTGTATGTCTAGTGCCCTATCCTAATCGGGATTTTGTTATTCGTCATCTAGAAATGAGTGAATTACCTTTCGATGCTCAAGGTATGTAAAGTTGGCAGTGTTGGTTTTCGTGGCTTAATTTTCTAAATGAAAAACTTAATTTGCTAATTATTTTTATTCGTCCAGAAAGATGGATTTCTGGAGATATATTTTGTAATTTCCGTTATAATTAGGAGCAGAACTTCTGGCTTATAAACAGTGTAACCAGCAATACCCTATATACGTCTCTTGGATCATTATTGAAGGACATGAATTATTGAACATTTCAGTAGACAACATCTTTGCATATTCGAATGGAATGAGTCATTTCTTAGAAATAATTTCATCATAGAACTAATTCTGATTAATGTCAGTAATTTGTAGAAAATTATGAGGATGTGGAACGATTCATAAATATCTATCTAAAAAGTGATGGTATGTTTGTAATCCGGATGATAACACTTCATTCTGGTGTTATTTTTGGTAATGAATTGATATTTGCGTTATGGAAATCATATTTTGGTATTGAACCGCTTATGCGGCGCAGCAGCTCTTTCCCAGCTAGCGCTACAATATGGTCACCACCTTCAGGTATTACTTTAGACTTACTTTTACTAATCTAATTGCTAGTTTTCAATTGTTTATTGTAAAATATTAAGTTTTACTTTCACATAGAATGAGAAATAAAAGACTTATTGATCTAAAATATGTGTCAGAAACTTAATGAAATATAATATGTTCGTTAGACGTGCGCTTATGGATGAATTCAGTTTTGCAGTCTATAAAGAAAAAATTAGGAATGTACGCTCAATTTCACTCATTTCTCAGTGCGCTTTGTTTAGATAGCAAGTTTTTATCAACTATGTTGTTAAAGTTGATTTGAATTGATGACTTTTTTTTTCTTAAATGCATTGTGATTTCACGAAAGTTTCATTAGAAAGTTGAGATTTTCAGAAAAACAGCTTGGCGATTTTGATCTGAGTGTGTTCGATAATGATTCTAACTTTAAATTTCTCCAAAAAAAAATTAATGAAAATAAGAATAGTCGAAATACGATGGAGACAATGTTAGATGCCACGAAAAATGAAGAAAATCCACTGTTACCGACAGAAGGTGAGTATTATTAGATTATATTAACTGGAACTTTGAAGTTATGATATTATCAACCTTGTTTTTGTTTACGCATTTTCTTTCATTTCCTTCTCTTTAATAGTTCTATAAAGTTGTTTTTATAATTTTTGAAATTAGCTCAGCAGGCAATAACTTTAAGACTTCAGAAATTTTTGTCTTGTATCGTTATATGATCTCCTGATTATATAACGATATAAGACAAGAACTTAAGCCGTACCTAAGCACATTTGCTCATTTATAAATTAAGTCACTATTCTTTTGGAAACTCTTTTAGCTATTTCCTTTTTTATTACTCACAATTATTTATGTTTCTTTCCGCAAAATTTAATAAACCGATTTAAATTCATATTCATATTTGTCTCTTCTTGAATCATGTAATAATAATTGTGGTAGTTTATAAGGTTTGAATGTTTTAGAGTCAACTATTCCCACACAGACCTTCAGAAGCAATTGTCCGAAAAGACTAGTAAACAATGAAAGTCATTTAATTCAACGTACTGCTGTTTCATCTCACCCATCTTCTGCTTTCAACAATCCTGCGGAAAGACTGTAAATTTTATGATTTGATATTATCCTTCAATTATTTAGAAACTTCGAATTAATGACCACAGTTTAGTCTACTAACAGTGTTGGTCTTGTTATCCACGAAAAACTTTGGTAATACATCTATTTTATTATATAATTTGTGAACTTTGGCATTTGAAATTCTAAATTTTTATTCGGAGTGACCAAAATGTCTGTTACTTTGTCTATAAATCTGGTATGCCTTTTAAGTAAATCGATGCAATTTGTATGATATTGTCTGTCCAGTAAAGATTCAAAATGACTCCTAAATTCATTTCACAACTGCAAACATAAATCTAACGTCAAATATCAATCTAAGATCAACACAATCTTCATAAATTTAATTTTTGATTCACTTTGAATCTATCTGGAGTAGGTTTTATTTCGACCGCTGTTGTTTTATTATCTTTTAGTGCAACATCCACAACTTCCCTTAATGTTCATGAGTTCTGCTTATCTCAGTTTATTTGCTGATTCGAAAAAAAGATACACAGTGTTTACTTATTAACAGGTATTATGAGAGGAAATTGAAAAATTTAATTTAGAATGTGAGGAGTAAAGAGCCATAAGAAACGCTTTATTAGCCAAGTAAACATTGAATTGATAAACTGTATCTCCACGAACTTTATTTCAATGATCTTAATTTCAAATTATAAAGCGTTCGGGTTTTTTGTCGCTGTTGGCTATTCGATAACGCCTTTTTTTCCGCCTGTTTATTTCATTTCTTCCATTGAATGCTTTTTCTTTATACCACTTATTTTACATGTTAAAAGGTCACTTATCTCATGTATAGTTTGGAAAGATTTCACAGATAAAAATATTCATGTGCATTATGCGTTAATACTATTTTCGCATATTTTGGACCAAATATGTTTTTCCTCCGGAAGAAATGTCAACCAAATCATTTTCCCAAGAGTTCCTTTTAATCGGATAAAGTTCTCTCAAGTTTTTGCAAGTTCCAGTATAATTAGCAAATTTACCTGTTTACACTCTTCTCGCAGTTATGAAACTATTGAGAGGATGTGGTAACAGAAGGAGAGATACATTCTACTAAATTAATGGTGAATATGACATTTTTAAAACGCGTTTCAATGAGATTTGCATAATTCAGCCATGCATTCATATATAAATTTTTGGTTATTCTGAATTGATTCGTTATTGTTAGATAATATTTTGAAGAAAAACGTCAGATACATAGGGTATCTAAGAAGACTCACTGCTGTGGAGATTGTTTGCAAGGTAATTGCAAAGGAATCTTTACAACATAAGGTGTGCCTAGGAATTAGAATCTATTTAGGAGTACGCCATCTATTGGAAGTCAGCAACTTTATTCCTAATTTCTAATTTATGTTCGGAAGTCCATAGCTTATCCGAAGTCCTTCAGAAATTGGTTCGATGAGCTTTTTTTCAAGCGATACATTCGAACGTTCGGTTTCGAAAACCCGAGAAAAAGAACGTAAATCGACAGTATCCCATAAACAATCATCTGATTCAGAAGCGGAACAAGCAAAAAAAGGAGGATTGTTAGAGCAACATCATCAAGATATGGAAATCGAAAAACATTCAAGTAATGAAGAAAGTGAAGTGGTATGTGTTTAATTAAAATAAACTTTCGAAACCATTCAGAAAAAATAATCAATGTTTAAGGAAATTACTAGCGGATATTCATATAAAACCATATATTGCTGTCGTGTCAAGGTTCGTCATAATTTAATTTTTTCATAACATTTAAAATTCATTAGAAATAATGGACTTACTGTTAAATTACCTACAACGATATCCTTTTTAGACCAAAGTAGCTCGTCAAGAAGCTCCTGAGTATTGCCGAGATAAATTGATCATTAAACCGAAGAAGATACCACATGATCAGAAACAGGTTTTCTCCTATTTACAGTTGTGCTATGATGGGTAACCAAATTATGCTCACTCTCTTTCTTGACAACTTTGTGACATTGCACGGTCTGTTTTATTGTCTTTTCATTCCAGCTCATCATTAGAAATTGATTTTGCAATTATTCAATCCTCAAATCACAGAGTTCAACTATTCATTGGACTTTTTATGATTTGTGAATAATATATTGAGTATTTCCGATGAAAGTTCCATTTAGCAAAAGATATCACAAGGAATCACAAAGCAACGATCAGACTATCCAACCATGGAAGATATATGCAGTGATTGGGAATCATATGATGAAACAGAACAAATGACCCAGCAATCAAAAACGAAAGCTAATCGTGAATCGAAGAAGTCTATTCTACAGCAAAATCAAACATCGAAAGAGTCTCCTCTTCAATTACATCATCACCAACAACAACAACAACAACAACCTCTACAGTATCATCAAAGTGCACAATATAATCAGCAAGTTCATCATTATCAAACTCCACAAAATCATTACCAAATTAAGCAATGTCAGCTACCCAAAACGACCAATCTTGTGCGGCCTAAAAATGAATCAATCGAAAAACAGCAATCAAAAAAGAAATCAAATCTTTAAAACCTAACAAATAATTTTATTTTCCAAAATATTTTAAACTGTAATATAACAAAGCGCGCATGACTGTTTGTTTCCAGCTTATTAAATTTAATGAAATTTTAAAAATGGAAGAAAGAAATGGCTCGCTGAGGAGCAATATTATTGTATAAACGTTGATAGGGCGCATCGATAGTAATTAATGATTAATTCGAGTAATTTCAGTTTCAATATTATTTATTTCCGGAACTATTGGCACATTTTCACTTTATTAGAGTAACAAGGAGAATTTGTTCCTGAATTTCATTAACAAATAGTGACTTCCATAGTGGAATGACTCGATGCGCTTAATGGAATTTTCTCATTTTCAAGAAATGTTGTAGAAATAATTCAAAATGATTCAAATACCCTCCCTATATTTCTCCACTCAATAATCCGTGCTCATTAAAAGGATTATGTTTATATGAATTAGAGATATGTTTATGTAAATCAGCAAGTGGTTGCAACGTTCAAAAGAAGATTGCAGTTGCAACGTTTACGACTTTTTTTACGATCATCGTTTACAACAATTCCGCTCGATGGAAAATTGTTATTCAGTCTTAATTTGCATTATCAATCATAAATTAGCGGTTTTTGTCCTACCTATTTATCTACTTTTGGATGTTCTTAATGAATAGATTTAACGCAAAATATTGTTAATTTTTATTCAATAACTTCAAAGGTAAAATAGTTCCAACAATTTCTGTTTAAATTGTTAAACACTTTTGTTTCTAAACATTTCTCCATTATCAAAAGTTATTGCATTATAAATTCATGTAATTTATTTTATAAATTTCTACATTTTATAATACAAAATTTAGAATGATGGTCGACTTAACACCGCAGCTTCCAATTAAACTTAAATTGTTGTGACCTCTTTCCGCGGCGGTTCGTGAAAAGCTAATCTGTTTGCACCAATGAATTAAATGAAGTCAGAAATTAAAACATTCGTTTCATTTCAGCAAGTTGTAGTCAAGAATACATAAAAAACTAAAAAAAAGTTCAGTAAACCAGGAAGAAGCTTGATATATGCATCAAGGAGTCCATTGCAACCACCCCACTCTCTGAAAGCACATAATCTCCAATGATGAACTCATAAGGAGCGAATACTCATCTATTACTCTCTCTGGTCAACACTCTGAAATCGATGGCACAATATTGTTATATGAGAAAATCTCATTGATTCTTTTGCAATGCTCTAATTAAATTTTGTGCCAGATAGGTCATATCAATAAATGAAATGTTGTTGCTATGAGCAGAAAGGATACTATCAATTACACTGCCAACTATGTATTACGTCGAAACGCATGACCGTAATCATGTTTAGCTGACTTAGTGATTTTATTTATTGATCGATAAAATCAATGATGAATAAGTTCCCAATAGGGCTACGTCATATTTTATTGGAAAGTCATCAGTCAGTTGTTTTTTCTAACAAGAGAAATATTTATTTTTCAAACTTATCTGAAGTTTCTGGATCGGTAGTTATAAAGGATATCAATTCTTTATAGTTTAGATGGCCACGTTGATTTTGTTTTTGAGTGAAAACACAAACAAGTTGTAATTGTTTACTTCATCATTTGCAGCTAGAAAGGAATTGTTACTCTAAATTACAAATTTTTCCATGTTAAAATCAATTCTGGCAGTTGAGATGTGGTTTGTAAACTCATAATCAAATTCAGTGTTGATACTAACATAATTTTCAGGACTGAAATTTTATCGTAACCAAATTTGATGGAAAAATCTATTTTTTGGTAATGTTATAAGATTGGTTAAAAGTTCGATATTTTTGTTTTCCGTAGTTTTCTAGACAAAAAAAGTGGAGAGACTTTTACAGATGAACTGGTCCCTTTACTTTTATCTCTCCCACGAATCATAATATTATTTCTTTTCAGTACGACGGAGTCATTACGGAGGTATCTTAAGGTCAACCTTAATTTAGAGTTTAGCAGAATGTATGTCTTCTTTTTTGGGTATTGTTAGATGTGTAGAGTAGGTTATCTGCGTTTAGAGCCATATTTCTTCTGTTCAAAATCAGTAATGCGATGCGACCCTTTTATTTTCAGCCGCCATTATATCTTAATTACTACCATCTCTTAATTAGTTGTTACCATCATGAACCGTGATGGACACAAATATGCACACAAATATATATTTATAGATATATAACGAATATTTTGTATTCATTTAGAATCATTGTTCCATCTGTTTTTCCTCTTAATTTTGTTTTAATCAAAAAAAGTGAACCTTTAAATGTTTCTGGATGATATCTTGGAATATCCGACATTATCTACCATACGCTCTCTATCCTAATCCTGCCCATTCAATTAGTTTAACCTTTCCATAATTTTTTTAAAAAGCTTTAATAATGCCATAATGGAGCACACATAGTGCTCCATAGACATCGGGGTACAGAATATCGGTTAATAACTGTTCTTAACAATCATATTGATTAGCACAATTCCCAATTTATTCGAAATTCTGCTAAAAATTGTATAGAAATTTAAAAAATCAGCTTTAACTAAAAGGATGAATTTCTCTAAATGTTTGCGAGAAGTCGATGATTAGGCGCTGTTCTTAGCATTCTCTGTTTCGTCATTTCAAATTTCAGTTTCACACCGGAATTTAAAATAATAAGGTTCTTTTTTCAACCTCAAAAAATACTTTTTTCGTGATAGTTGATGTTATTATTGGTGATTTGCGATTGCAGATGTTTCAATAATTTTTTTTTTGTTGCCGCCCTGTTATTTACCTGTAATAACTCGACTTACTTCCGTTCCGGTAAAGAATAAATGAATGAAGGAAGAATGAAGTTAAATCAAACTAACCATTAAGCATTCATGCTTTGTTTAATTAAGTTCTTCGGATGTATCCTTCTTCCCTTCCGTCATAGAAAGGATTCAAAAGCGAAGACAAACATTGTTCCACAATGTTATGATTATTTATCTTTCATACAAAGGCACAACTTATATTTACATAATGAGCGGTATGAACAATACAAAAGCCTTTTTTTTCACAGGTGTTAATATTAACACACTATTAAAAAAAGTTCCAAACGTTTGCCCGTTTTTTGACCCTTTTTAATTGGATTAGTATTAATCTAATGTATTCATCCTTTAGTTCCATTGTCGCTAAATCTTTGAACATCACTTAGCTATGGAGAAAGGTCACCCTTATCCAATTCTGGAAAGCAAATAAAGAACAGATGTGTGCAACAACCACCAATTGCTACACAGATGGCAATTCACTTTTGCCGTAAAATCCGTGTAGTTTTAAGTTATTGCAGAGCTTAGTTGGTTCAATCATTTTAATAATAAAATTTAATGAAATTTTGCTTTTGATATTCAATTACAATTTACAAATTGCACCTTTCAAATGATAGCTCCAATCGTGAATACGTAAATTATCGCTATACAATACATTGCATAGAGATAAAAAATGTCATTGGAGCATCAGAAGAGAACAATAACAATTTTTCAAGTTTGCTGATGAAATATTGAAACGGTACAGTTAATTTCAAATGTAAATAAATTATTTTTATCATGATAGATGATATATTTGTAATTCATAATTATTTATATGAACCATTTAAATCAATTAATTTTAGGTGAGTTACTATGCCACACCTGGTGAAGAAAACCTCCATTAATATTTGAAATCACTAATGTTAAAGTTCCTGAACATAATTTCAATTATATAACCACATCTCTTCATTACTGAGGTAATAAATCATGAAGAGAATCCTTACTTCGGTCTCTGGTCCTTAGGACTGCATTACCATTCCTCACCAACACATTCAGCCTGGGGCGGTAAAGTAATTCATCACTGACCGAAGCAGGTATCGAACCTTGGCATCATGACATGGTATCCACACTTAGCCACCTGGCCACGAGCTACTCAACCCCACTAACTATTTTACAGTTATTTCAATTTAATATCTAGTACTTCTACCCGTTTTGCAAATTTTCTCTCTTCAACAAATAAACAATGATGGTTTTAATCTCATCAACAAATAAACAATGATGCTTTTAATAAGTCTAAATATTTCGATATTAAACAAACTTTTAAACTACCATTAAATTTTATGTAAAATTGAAACATTTACGTAATGTCAAATTATGGAAAATTTTGGTTATGAATTTTGAAAATATGCAAATTTTAACAAAAAAGAACTTATTGATATGAATGAAATTTCTGGTAATGAATAATTCGAAGATATTTATTTGTTTCGAATTTATAGAAAGAATAGAATAATCAACGAGAAGTTTCTAATATATTAAACATTTCTTTCTTCCTGAATTTCTAAATATTACTTCTCTTCCTTCTACATTTCTATACATTAAATAATTCCATTCTAAATTTTCAAATGCTAAATCATTTTTTTCCTTAAACTAAAATTATTCTCAAATTCGTTGATTATTTTGTTAATTTCTTTTGATAGCATGAAATCCGCATTTGTTCACTTTACTGAATAACATTAACAATCCTAAAATCTGCCATAATTAGTATTAGTTCATGAGTATATTTTTTTAAAAACTTTTTTACCAATAATTAATTCTATATCAAAAATTATAATAAATTAATTGGAAAACAATCGCATTTTATAGCACTAATAAGAGTTGACAACCTCTTTAAAAAGCCGTTTTACATTTAACTAAGATTATTGAATCTTTTTTATTTCAGAAAATTTCATCCCTTTTGCGCTTTACAATTTCTGCTGTCAACCACCAATTTACTTGATGCAAAAAACCGTGAGAAAATCAGCATAGATTTCGCAGACTTTTTTCATTGTTAACAATGAATGCGGTAACGTCAAATCCATCTACTCATTCCATTATATTTTTGAAAAAGAAACTTCCGCTCTACAAACTCCTACCAACAACAATTATACCACACTTCTCAACCCATTCTTTTATTTATCGGAGTCTATTTATACCACACTATCGCATTACTCGAAATGAAACATTGCAAGTTGCTAAACATTACAATTTTACAATTTAATTTAAGAGAAAAAAGAAATGTGAAATTCGAAATATGGGCCGAGATACAACTAGAGCTCAAACTTCAGAAATATCTATAATGTGTTTAATAAACTAAATGCAAATTAATTTTGAAATTTCAATTATATTTTAAAATGATTTCAAAAATCAGAAATCCAACATCTCACAGCATTGGATAAAAATTTATGCGCCCTTGGTAATTACTATTTCAACAATAACTCCCTCAAATTGATTCAAACTTCGTCATAGACACTGCATGAGTGAAACGCTCAGTGCTATTTTAACCAATATAACTATCTCCCAATGGAAACTATCAGAATGCATAAATGAAATAGAAAATGGGTAGCATCTTTTAATCTACTCATTAATTTAAAATAAATTGACACGGCTAATGTTAGAAAGATGTTTCCCTTGATCTACAATGTACTTCTTCCTACTAAAATCAAAAAGCACAATGTTAATAATCGAAGTCTCGCTATTTAAAAAAAAATTGCAATACGTGAACGAAAATCATAGAATTTTTATAACTGTCAAAATTCATACAATACAATTATCATTGACTTAAAAAATTCAAATCATTACTTAAATGATAGAAAACGGAACACGAATTGTAGAGGTACCTCGAACTTATCATACTTCTACTATCAATTATTATTTTGATATAAGAAAAAGAAAAAAAGAAACATATTATAATAAAAGAAATTGGAAACAATTATGTAGACGTAACAAGTGAAATGCAAAAGAAAAACAACCGCATGCTTGCTAATGAACAACAATGAAAACGATATGCTATTTACAGCTAGAAATGTCCCCCAATAAAGATAGCTAAGAAGTAATGAAAATAAAAGGAAACATTGAATGCCACAATTAAATTTCATTTATCAGTATATTTCAGTTGAATTTCACGCAAAATTTTTAGCATTCATTGTTATTCTATTCTACTGTCGCCATGCCCAACAACTATGACTCAAATTATGAATTTGATAGCATTCAATTTTCATCGAAGGCATTCTGCAATTGAGAAGACACAATGTATCAACAGCAAAAAGGCATTCCAGGAAGGATTGCTTAGAATGAATACAAATAAAAATGTATGCACAATTAAAGCTTGATTATTTACATTTTATTAATGATATCATATCTTTTTAAAAAAATCAAATATTACAGTAGTGAAGAGCTTACAGCTTTCACTTCCACATTTATATCAAATTTAATGAATTTTCCCTATCCAAATTTACAGTTTCATAACGTCACTTTAAGATTCTTATATTTTTGTAATGAAATTTAAACATGAAAAATTTTTTAATTTCGATTTGTTGACACAAAATCAGTTATGAAAAGTAAAAAATTTTGAGAAGATAGTTTCCAGGAGTACTGATTTACAGATATGAAAAAAAAGAAAATAAAAGATGAATGTATTTCAGAAATTGAAAAATTTAGTGGTGGAAGAATAAAACAAATTATGATAACATGAAAATCGTACATGAGAACAATTTTTATAGACAAAAGAAATTACATAGAAAAGACAGCAAGAACTGTGAGGAAAAGGGAAAAAAATGATGAAAGGACAGAAATAGTGCTAATACACACAGTAGAAGCCACCCATTAACCATCACAGTTTCAAGAGATCTATTTCGAAACGGTATTTTATGAAAACCGACTTCTCACTTTGGAGATTCATAAGGTCGAAACTTTGTTTGCAAAAAACTTTGCTCGAAAACTTTGAGTTATTAACTCCAAAAGCTATTAAATCATCAGCTTTATTGAACTGAGCTATTAAATTGTCACTTGATTAAACTTTATTAAGCTTTATTATTAGACTGAATAAATTTTAAAAAGTTTGCACAAATACCATTTCAAAAAATGCGCGCAACCAATTTAACTTTGAGGCACACTGGCTGGAAAAAGAACGAGATCCATACATATAAAATGAAGACAAATAATTAGGTAAAGGTAACACCTAATATCCAATATTGATGAGAATAGTGACGAAACAACGTACAACTATGATTTCAAGTGGCAGCATAAATCGCAACGTTATGGACCTCCATTCAAACAATTAATCAGTTTAAAACATATGTAAATAACATATAGTAATATTTTGTTGATAATTAAGCAAATATTTAATCGACAAATTGTCAATTACTCGGCTAATAGAACAATTCCAATCCGTGATGCCATTCAACATTTTAAATCCTATTTTTTGAACGATTAGTTAATTTAGAGCAATTCAATAGGAGCACTTCTATATTTCTCGTGATTACTTTGAGCTTAAGAAAAATAAAAGGTGGAAATATTATTTTCGAAAAAGGCTGAGAAATGAAACTTATAAATTAGTTTGTATATCGGTCACCTTATGAACAACATCTTGTGGCTGTTGTCTAGAAGTATCATCCGAGACTATCCGGTGGTTGGTAGTAATTGTTTCCGATTTATTATTCGTTTGTTGCAACATCGCTTTTGGTACTGACAATTCATCATCAATTTCCTCATAATGATTACCACCATCTTCAGATGGCTGTGTTGGAAAATATGAATGCACACGCTTCGAGTGTCGCATATCCATCTAATATGAAGCTTGTAGAACATATAAACAAAGAGAATAATTTAATGAATTTCTTTACTGGTTCTGTGTTTGAATGGAAACATGAAAAGAATTCAATGTTTGCTTCAAAATCAAAAAAATAAAAGAAAAAATAACCTTATTACAGCACTCCGCATACATATCCTTTTTTAACGATGGTAGCCTCATGTTGACAGTAGGTTCGATTGCATAACGCTCACTATAATTAAGATCTTCACGATCTGGATAAGGTGGTAATCTCTTCTTGCCAGACATCTGAAAATAAAGCAACGAAATATTTTCAATCAAACTACTATATTAATAATTTTTGTATTGTTATTTATGTAAAGCTTTTATAGTTTCTCTGCTGTTTTTCATTTTTATTATTGATGTTATCACGCAGTGCTACTAACTTTCGAGTTCAAATATTTTTTAGATATATCGGTGTAGCACTGAAGATTACTAAAATGAGAGAAATGAAAATGAATTTAAAGAATTAACACATAAAATTTGTTCCAATAATCCCTTCTTTAATTCGGTCGTACAATAACAATAAATGATGTCACCATAATTTTCTTATGGTTAGAAATGCATTTTTTTATTTCTTTGATTTTATTAATCCAATTGCTATTACAATTCCATTTTTCATTTTATTAATTTTTATACATATCAATTTCATTTACTTTTACATGATTAATTCGTTAAATATGAAAAGTAACTAAAACAGGAGCCTAAAAATTGGTCGGAAATTTCAAAAACTAACTGTTTGAATTCTGTTCGCATGATCTCTTTCGAAATAATTGATTTCAGCATTTGGGCTTGTGTATATGGACAAGCATGGTTTTTGTTCAGAATATTTTGAAAGTATTCTTGAATTTCGGTCATTCTGGAGAGCTGGGTCTATCGAAGACGTCCTTTTCGCTACTTTCTGTCGGTAAAAAATAACGACAATCAACATTAATGCCAAAATACAACACGAAGAAAGCAATGTAAGTAACAGATCTCTGAAGTTTAATCCGCCATTTGAAGCCTGAAATCCTGATAATTTAAAATTTAAAAGGAAGGAGCTGGAACTATACTCACGCAGTAATCACTGAAATAGCCTGATAAGTTATTTTGTATTCAGATTTAACCGTATTTGAAAACATGTAACTTCAGCAAAAACATACAACTTATAGCTAGCTAGCTGCATTCTTTCAATGCAAATGATAACCTGCTGTTCATTTTCAATCTTTACGACAAAAGTTCTTGTGCGATTATAGTGTTGAAGTGGTCGGCATTCCGATTTAAGATGCAAACAACTTTTACCATAGAAGCACGGTGGACAGAGGCAATAAAATCCTTGTGATGAATCGACACAGGTACCGCCATTTCTACAAATGCCAGATTGATTGATACCAACAAAAAAATAGCTTGAATTGAAAATAATTTAGCACTACACTTGTAAGCTCTACTGTACGTAAGTTAATTATTAATAATCAACAAATTCGTATTTTTAGTCTAAATGTTCCTTCGATCTTAAAAAACTGCATCTAAACAAAATAAGAATCATTTTTTCCTATATAATATGAAATGTACCTGCACGAATTGCGATCACATCTAATTTCAGGAATTTTACAATTGCTTCCTGTAAATCCGATGCCACATTTACAATAGTACCCTCCACCTTTTACGTCAATGCATTGTCCACCGTTCATGCAAGGCTCATTTAAACAAGCACTGACCGAATCTTGACACAATGTACCGCTATATCCATCCCGGCATTGACATTTGTAATTATTTATTTCATCAATGCAACGTCCGCCGTTCATGCACGGATTAAACTGACAAGTACTCCAATTTTAATAACACATTACAAAACGTTAAATTCCTTAAAATCACAGCAAAACATTTTAAAATCTTAACAGAATCAGCCAGAAGGATTGTCCTGCACTAGCAAGCAAAACGATTTTTTAATTTAAATTTCATTTTAAATTTAGAAGCGAAAAATTTGCAAAATTCCCGATTGTTATGCTTCGATTCAGCTTTTGAATAACTCTTTCAATTAAACAAGAATAAAAAAAGAAAAAAGAAAATAAGGTATGCATTAAAGTAGCAGTTAAATACTCAAACATACTTGTGCACACTCATTAGAGTTCTCTTCACAATGCTTCCCGGTAAAGCCAAGCGGACAAAGGCAGTCATAGCCATCGTTTCTTTCTACGCATTTTCCTCCTGAAATAAGCAACACATTTAAAAAATAATTACTAAATTTCCACATTGGTTGCTTGAATAAATTTTCAAAATGGTTAGCTAAATCAACTTTACCCAAAAGCGCAACAATGAAACGAATAAGTGACCTTGAAACGAAGGAAATTCAATAGTGTTTCCCCATAATTCCAATTCAAAGATAATAAAGAAAAGTTGAAAATTACTTCAAAAAAGAGGAAAAAGACATCATAAGGAATAAAGGCAATACTTCGATACGATATCCTCATCAAACCAAGGTTAATTTGGTCAATGTGGCAGCTCAGCATGATTTTTTTAATTGAAAAATGAGTACGACGCAGTAGGTTGAATACTACCGCTACCAGCTGTGGGAGGTCTAATGTAATGAAACACAATATTAAATTCCCATCAGCTAAACAACGTATAGCAGCGTCGTTTTGAATTTGGAATTTAAGGAGAATTCTTCAATAAACTTATTCTGTTACTAATTGCTCTTTTAATGCTAAAAGCATGAACATTTACAACAATACACTCTTCCTACACTCAGCAGGCGAACGAATCGGGAATCCTTTGTGAACCCACAACTAGCTCTAACAAGCGCTCCATCCTGCTGTGATTACAAATACTGACCGACAAGTACTACGACTAACCCATAACATGAACTGTATCGCGTATCAATATGTTTTGAAAAACAGCAACCTTATGTCAATCTATATTTCTGTTTCGATCATGGCAAGCAGTAATATATCTGGATATAGGAATGACTATATTTAACTATTAAGATCCTAAAATTTCGTAAGGTAGAAGAATAAACTGACCATTAAAACAACGAATTTCGTCACAAGGTCCAATCTCGATATCGCAAGTACTACCGGTCCATCCTGGTAAACAACTGCAACCGAATACTCCACGAATTTCCATACAAGTAGCACCATTTTGACAGGGTGAATCAGAACATGAGTTAGCAGCAACTTGACAGTAACGACCGGTAAAGCCTTTTGGACAAATACAAGTATAGTTATTCCCAGGCATATCCTGAAAGATATAAAATTCAAAATAAAAACCACAATATCCAAGAAACATCAATAAAATTCCCAAACCGAAGTAAAATATGATCAGAAATAATTTATTGTGTAAATAATGTTTTTCATCTGAAATCCATAAATAAAAGTATAACATACAGCACAAGTAGCCCCATTGAAACATGGTTGCAGCGAACAGTTCTGTAAACGGGTTTCACAATTCGTTCCTGTGTATCCATCTGAGCACTCACATGTATACTGCCCATGTCCTGTATTCCTACATGTTGCATTATTCCTACATGGCTGATGTCGTGTGCAATAGTTCAAATCTAAAAAACATTTTATGAAAACCAAAACTATAAACATTATTGTCAATTTCACTAGGTTAGTGTTTATCGAACATCTGCACATGCAGTATGTGGGGTGCACAAGATGTTAGAGTTGAATACTACTTTCAACACTTTAAATATATGTTTGCTAGATTTAATAATTTAATTATTAATAATTACTATTTCAGTAATTAAATTTTAAAATACATGATTTGTTAAGAAATAAGTTTCCAGATGCAGTAAACCTTAAAATACCTTCGTTGCAAAAATGTCCACCCCAGCCTTCATAGCAAATACACTGATTGGGCAATTTGCAGGTGCCATGCTTGCAGCCTGGATATCTCACACACTGAAAAGAAGAGCATTCAACATAGAATATTTCTTAAATTAGAAGTATTTAAATAAAAGATCACTTGTATCTTCCGACTTCTGTACTTATTTCTTTTTTATAGTTACAAAAAACTACAAAAAGCTCACTTGATCACAATTCGGTCCAGTCCATCCGGTTTTACAGCGACATGAACCAGGTCGATCGCATGCACCATTGACGCAATTATCGCAACGTGCTGAAGCTTGAACATATTGTTTACTGCATTTGAAAATAATTTCCGAACGAAACGATCATCAAAATGTTCTCTCTAACAAAAAGTGTTAGCACTTTTAACTTTTGATCTAGCTACTAATCAGATGTAAAACAAATAAGGAATCATTGATAGAATGAATTTTAATTCATTCACAATCTGTCTGTATTAAAATGGAAAAAGATTTTGAGGAAGTTGAAAAAGGAAGAGATTTAAATCCAAAAATAAACGACTTTATATGATCCATGAAGTAAAGAGTATACTTTACTAAGCAGTATACTTTTTTTCTAAAACTCAACATGCTTTTCAAAGAAAAAAGAAACTAGAAGTATTTGGTGATGCTTCAAGTTACCAATACACCAAGGATTCCAGAATTCTAGTTGTCATACTCGGCTTAGAATAGTAAACAAAAAATAAAATCACAGTTCAGATTCTTTAAGCATAATTTATGAATTAGATGGGAAGACACGAAATCACGAAATTTGCTATTCGAAAACATGCGAGGAAGTTTTTTATTCGCTTCTTTTTCACATGATCTTATAAAGATTTGTTTTTCCACATTTCTCCCAACATTGAACAGTCTTTCTTTCCTTTCATACGACATTAACTGGTTAATTTTTCTCTGTTTTGCATGAATTACTTCGAAAATAGTGAAAGTGAAATTCTGGATTCTAATAATGAGACGAGCAGATGGCCGGAAAAGGTAGACTGAGAAGTCAAAAGAAAGAGCGAAACAAATACAATGGAAGATAGCCTTCGAAGCGATACTAATTGCTAACTGTTCACACTGTTTGAGTCAAAATTATGTAACACATGCCTCTTTCATTCTCACTTGTTTTTCTATTATATTAAAGTGATATTTATGAACCAAAAATCTGCTAAAGAACAGCTGCTTCCTGTTTCTTCTCTAAGTTTTCATCTTTTTGCATACATATATTTTAATCAGATTACTTTTTTTACATTCAATTCGAAATACTGTTAATCATCAGCAGCTAAATAATATTTTGGGTAAATCACTTTAAAAAAAAGCAAGAAAACGAATTCTTTTTAATCATAGTAAGCAGTTACAAGCTAGAAAAAATACCCCAATTTCAGATAGAAAAAATTGGGTGGTTGGTTTAGTACGTGCTATTGAGTGTGCATTAGTAAAGAATTAAGAATTGATCGAAATTCAGCGCTTTTCATTAATGAAAAAAAGAAGCACAACTTCTTTTTGTTAGTAGGATGCCCATTATTTGTACATTAGCAGAATTTATAAACAAAAAGGATTATGAGAGGTAAATGAAAAATATTGAGATTAAGAGGTACCGGTAAGAGGTGCTTCATATTCAGAAGAGCGTATCATTATATTATGCATATAAACAACGATCTGCACTTCTACGAAGAGTAAATAATAGCACGGAGCACAAATGCTTTCAACTCTACCATTAATGTCTTGGATACTGTTTAGTAAAAAATTTTGTAGTAAAACTGAGTTCAATGTGAAGCTTAAGCTTGGAAATGATAACAGTACTATTATGTACTAACAGTATTAACGGTCTAGGTTTATACATCACAACTTTCCATTGCTTACAGCTATTGATATCGATTATACATTTTAAAATGTGAAACGCTTCAAGAGTAGTAAGCATGGGAAATAATTATTTAGGAGTGATGTATACCTAGGATCTACATAGAGGTGGTTTAGGTCTCATTTATTATAATTAGTAAATGGGTCCATTCTTTCACTCCGAAAACCAACCTCTCCAAAGTTGTCAGCAATTTTATTTTTACAGATAACAGGAAGTAATTTATAAGAGTTACAACAATAACTGAACTACGAATGTTCTGAAAATTATTAAACTCGTGATTCTATTATGTAATGAATGATGATTCCATCATACACATGAATTATTAATTTGAAACGAACCAATGTCACAACTTGACCCTTCCCAACCAACTGAACATGCCAATGATCCATTCGATGTACACTGGAAATGACCAACAGTACTATACATCGGCTGACAAAATGTAAGACATCGTGGTCCATAATAATCACTAGCACAGGTTATCCTATAAGCGATACTCATTCGGAAACCATTTGTACCAATAAGCGTTTCTTCAATCCAATTTTTACCCGAAGGAATACTTTCACGTTGGAAACCATCATGAGATATTAGCTTTTTTAGATCTGAAATTAGAACTGCAAAATCTCAGGAATTTTTCACAAGAAATCGAAAATGTAGCATAAAAGGGCACATTCTAGTCTGAATGGCGTCAGAAGTTTTATTGTTCATTAAGATCATTTATATGCTAGAGAATGACATCAACTTTTAGATATTATTGAGAGCTAATATCATGAACGACTGTTTGAATTGTCTAGCAAATATGTTTATCGCTGTACACATTAATCCCCCAGAAAATACGTAAAGCAGAATATAAAGGAAATCAGAACGGAGTGTGGGAGAGAGTGATAGATGTATTAGGATTTAGCAACAGAAGAATGTAATCGACCGCGAAGATCCGCTGCCGATACAATTAACTGAACTAAAGCCATCAAAAAGATGCCGTATATGATAATGAAATAGAAAAGTAGCTACTTAGTAAGTTAATCCGGTCTAAACACTTCCATTACACAGTTGTACAGTTCCGAACGTAAATTTCGAATAAAAACAAGCAACATTCATGAAGCAATTACTTTATTTTGAAACAATTACAGTCATTTACTTTAAAGGAAAAAATTAACAAATAAACATACTTCCAGTTGTCCTCCATGCTTCCGTTATTAATGTAAATGATTCCTAAAAAAATTATGAATTAGTAAAAATAATTTGAAAAAGTGCTTATCATTCATTCATTCATTTTAAAGAAAAACAAATTTATTTTAACTTACGCTTTTCAAAAAAATTTAAATAGTTTAAAAAATAAAAATCTAAAAATAAAAAATTTAAATGTAAATTTAAGTTTTCCACTTATTGCTAAATTTTGTAAAATGCAAAAAATCGGGATAGGAGTGGGAGAGGGAGGAAGAGGAAGAGGAAGAAAAGTTCACTAAGATAAGGCTAGCACTTTTGCGTTTTACAGAACTTTAGCACACCTTCACACACAGAACAGACACTCATCAGTCTCATGCTGTATGTAAAATATTCTCCTTTTCTCCTCTCGTAAAACTCACTCATCTAAATCATATCAAATGTCTATACTTCTTAGTTTTGTTTTTATCGGTTATACTATTTCTACCAAACTTTTGCACCATATAAATGATTTTTTTACGCAACTCGTGAGAAAGAACCTTGGAAAAAGGGTTTGATGGGTGATGTGATGTAGTGATGATGATGATATTGAGGTGATATAGTAATAGTACTTAAAACCTCAGGCGTAGGATGGGAGCAACCAATAGAAGCGGGTTTTTATTGTTGTATCCCTCGAAAACCTCATTTAAAAAACAGGGAAAAAAGGAAAAGAACAACACATATGCATAAACATCTTACAGCAAAGGTGTTGTAAATTCCTTTTTGAAACAGTAATGATTGAAAGGACATTGTTGTTTCATGTGGTAACATCAACAACTCATACTATTTTCTCATGGGATCGACATATTTCATTCTTTACGCTAATACTTCATCGGACGTATCTGTACGGATGAAACTACCATTGGAAATTTAGTTTATATCTACTGTGTTGATATATTTCACAACTACCATTGTTCTATGTCAATTTTTCGAAAACTGATGATCTTTTAATGGATTTTTTGTTATGGTTATCTTAACTATCTTTTTTTCAGAATGTCTTCAAATCATTTGCAGTATTTTGAAATTTTTAGTACTTATCAATCAAATTGATGTTTACAAATTCCGCAAAATTGATAAATTTAGAAATATGGTAACAAATAAACATTTTTAGATTTGTAGAACACATCCATTAAAGAGTAATGAGATCCTATTTGGGTTTCCACAATAAAAAAAAGGTCACCAAAAGATAGGTAAAATATAACTTACTTTCATCAAAAAAAAGGATCACTCAAACGAAATAATGTAACGAAGGAATTGTTTTCAATTAAATAGTTAGCCTTAAAAATGAAATAAGAAAGACAAATAAGAAGCACATACTGGCCAACCAAATTGGAACTCAATCTTCGTTCCGTTGCGTAACCGTTCTGCATCAAGTGTCACTTCACCGAATGTACATACACCATTATAGATAATGTTTTTCTCAAAATGCTTCAAACAAATTCTCAGCTCAGGAAGAAACTCCTCTTTTGAGCCAATTGTCAACGAAACAAGTCGTATTTCGAATGAACCTGCACAAGAACACTGCAAAAAAAGAAAAAATCAGTAATTGGTCGAAAATTAGTATATATATATTTAGGAAATTTCCTCAAGAAAGGAATTTTTTTTTGGGAAAAACAGCAAGAAAACATTTTCAAACGTTTTCCGTCAGCATAGCTAAGAATGAAATCTCGGCATTTTGTCAAGAAAACGACTTTATAATAGTTATAGTTATGTTTGGTGATGTTATGGTTAAATATTTCCTTTGTACTCTTCCGCCTAATCGATGGCTTGTTTTATTTTCAACACCATTTCATGGATCAGCATTAAGCAATGCCTATTTTATTACGTAACCTTTCCTTCTTTTCCTATAGCATGAAATTCTTTCAGCTCAAATAGGATATAAAAAGCAGCGTGTAATACATTAAAAAATGCTAACACATTAAACTGTGCGATTAACAGAGGCGTTCAGCAATGAACAGTGAAATAGTTAAATTTAACCCAATTTCTTATACCAATCAAAATATAAGAGTTCATTTAAATTTAAACAATTTAAATTCAAAAGTATCTTACCAAACGAAGAATATTGTATCCCATGATCATAATATAGATTGGCGATACGCGATAATGGAGCATTCTGGTACTGCGAACGAACTCGCAGTGCGTCTTTTTTTATTGTTGTCTTTCAATTTTCAGGTTTAACCAAATCAAAAAGAAATGCGAAATGCAAAAATTACTCAATATATAATACTTGAAAAGGAAAATATGCTTCGAAATCAATGAAAGGTATCGGTGAAGTGAAACACTTCCAGTTATTTATTTATATAATTATATATATTTAATTTTCTTAATTGTATTCTGGACGTCGAGTGCACAACAATCAGTGAGAGTTTCCTATTGCATTCCAGTATAGAACTCTGAAATTGATATATAAACGATTATTTTGTGGAAGAAATGAAAAAAAGAAATTCGGACGTTTCAATACAGTCAATAAACGAACATTAGAATCATTTGGGAAAAGTTTGAATAATAAAAATATATTTAAGTTTCATTGTGAAATTATAAATTCATTTTCTCTCTTAAAGTTAATGGTAGAATGAACTTCTTTTATTTTGCTAATGGCAATTAGAGAGTGCTTTGACCTAATTAATGAAACCTTTCTTCAACCTTTTCTAATCAAAGAAAATTCGGATTATTTTCAAACTTTTAGTTCGATCGGAATATAAATAAAATAGAGGAAGTATGCAAGCTCATTGCTCAATTTAGAGCAAAATATAAAAAAAATCTATTATAAATTCTATACACTTTTCTATTGCTCACATTAGAGGTATGAAATTTTTATTGAAAGGTTTCATTTATTGATTGTATATTACTGATTGATCAATAAACATTTAAAATTTCTGTATATAACTCATCACTCTCTATAGGGTATAATTTTTGTCGCATAGAACAAATGTAAAACATTTTAGATTGAATAAAATAAAAGAAGAAAAAGAACTAAATATTGCTTTAACTCTTCACACTATAAGCTTATCAGAGAATCTCATAAAACTATAGAAATGAAATCACAAATTCTTAAAATACAATAAACAAACAGATAAAAATACAGTGATATGAACATTTTTAACAATGAAATGTGAAGGAAATTAGAAAATTAACTGAAATTGAAACAAAATTCAACTTAATCCCTTCTTCTTCTTCTTTAACCCTTTGATATTCGAAGAATTTTGAATCTTAGATATAGCAAAAGTTTGAAATGTATCAAACAAAAACTATGTAATATAAATGAGAAATGCCAACATACCTTCCTTTTAAGTTTCAAAAAATGAAAAAGAAATCATAGTAAGATTATATTTTACAGGTTAATCAGAAAGGATATTGCTATTCGGATTTTATGCTGTAAGCTTACAATTAGAAATGAAAATGAATAAAACGAAATTAAATATTGAAAATTAATTGGAACAATCTCATATAAAGTTTTAAATTTCTGCAAAAATTAACAGCAATATATTTCGACTTCATCACCCATAGTATAAAAGAGATACAAAGTTTTAGAACAACAGAAATTATTAAATTCTAGAGGTACTCTTGAAATTTAGTTCCTAAGCACAAATTAGACTTTTAAAAATTTCAATGGAAGATGATAAAAAATTTTTGGGACAAATAAAATGCGTAAGAAATAAAATGGATATACCAATTTTATCATTGCGAAATTATAATTGAACTAAATGATCAATTTAATCAAGCACTGTTAGCATAATGCTAAGCTAATTTACCCCATCTTCCGCCTCCCTGAAGATCGGATATTCTCGACGTGTTACATCTGGAAAAAGAGCGCTGCAATATTTGACGATAACAAATTTCATATGCACAGATATTTTCATTTGAAATTATCGGAAGAATTTCCGAAACCGATCGGAAAGGGATCATTTCTAAAGTTAAAACATCGAAACAAACAATGGAAATTGAAATTACGATTACAAAGAAGAGGAGTTGTATGGTAAATGAGCAACAAAAATGCATCTGAAACTTATGATATCACGATATCACTCAACAGACATCTAATAGAAAATACGATGATTTGATAATTGGGAAATTTGATAAGATTAATGACAAAATCAAAAAGTAATTAGCGCACTGCGAAAGTAACGCTTAATGAACAGAAATGTGAAATGATTTAAGAGATCGAAGATAGATAAGTCGGTCATTAAGTAAGTAAATAAGCCATCCTAACAGGAGAGAAGTACAGGATAGTGTGATGGCATAATGCCCCACGCGGTACGTACTTGCCCATCTTCAGGATCATTCACCAATAATACATTCGCACCACGCCTTCGGGTAGCTACCGACCGCCTCTGTGGCAGAAAATATAAACGTAGAGAGGGGGCGGTGGAGGGAGAGGAGGTGAAGAAGTGTTCATACTGTGTTTGCACTCAGGGTAAAACGACAGATGGCCGTTGGGAATCATTCCCTATGAAGGTATTCCTCCTCTCTTGACAAACTTGAAATTCATTTATAACCTTAATGCTTTAACTAAATTGGAATAAACACTTTTAGATCACACTAATATTTAAAAAACTGGATTACAAAGGATGGGTACAACTTTCGAACTTTATCTTCTCCCTTTCTCCCTCTCTCTTCATATCCATAAATGATCAAATTCTATGATCGACCAGCGTAGATTTCCAAATTCCTTCTAAAAATCACGTCAAACGATACAAATCATTCAAATATTTAGTTTTTCTTTAAATGCAATATGAAGAATTTTAAATTTGTTGTACAGTTTAATTTGAAAAAAGAAATTAGAAATATTTGTGGAAAAATGAAATCAAAGACCATCATCACGACAGATGTCAGAAATATGAAAAGATTATCACACGGGGATAGATCGAAAAACATTTTGCTATCATTCCTGAAATTAGAATTTTCTGGTACGCTAGTAACAGATCATACAGTGAAAAGTAATACCGATCAAAAACTAAACATCGAACAAGCTTGATTTTTTGAAGAAGCAAATTAGATAGAAATTAAAAATTTTCGAGTTTGGTGTTTTTTGCACACGATTTCAACAAAGAGATTTGAATCGAATCACAATTCCTGAATTATACATTTCCAGGAATTCAGTAAATGTTTCAAAAGGCTTCGCTTTATACAGAAGAAAGGTCTTCATCAGTTGAAATTCTCTCTACTTAGCTTATCTCTAGGAGGATAAGACATTGTAGGGGAGGGTCAAACTTACAAGTGAGCAATAATAGAAATCGGAAAGATCAAAGACAAGCACTCAATTTGATTAAGATGGCTTAATCAGTGATATCGGTATTTCACTCTTTATCCGTGTCAAATTGAAGCAGATCAATGACTCATACTTCATCAGACTCCGATCTTATTTTCTCATTATTCAAGTTTTCTGCCAGATCCATCCTTCCTCATTTGTACGATATCGATGATGGCTGCTCAGTAATATCAGATGTAATGAAATGAGGACTAAGGTCGTGGTGGCTCATAAATTTATTCCTATTCTTCTTTTCGTTAATTACCTCATTGATTTATTTGATATCACCGAATTTGATTGTTAATTGTTAGCCAGCTATTAACCCATTAAATGAATTGTTTCATATCATATCACTTTATAATTTCTTTAGGATTTCATTTTTAAGTGCATGCAAACTTAACAACATGAGAAGCGTAATCAACCACTAATTGTTTTATGTCGTAATCAACCATTGATTGCTACTTATACTTGAAATTATCACTTTCTCAAATTTAACAGTTATTTTTGTGTTTTTCTTCTTTTTTGAAATTTAAGAGAAATTAAAAAATAAACAAAGAGATAGATATATGATAGAATTCGACTTCGAAATTGCTTAATAATTTAAATTTTCACTAATCAAAAAAATTTTTGCTCCTTTCTACAACATTTTGGCGCAATAGCAAAATTATATAACTTCAAAAGAAAAGCCGCATAGAGTATCTGCTGACCAGATTAGCGTACACTGTTATACTTCATTGATAGTTTTGAAAACTGCGCACCAATATTCAAAATCAATTGTAATTAAGTTGACAGAATTAAGTATCGCTATGGATGTGACCGTGACCCATGTGGAGAGAAATTTGGAAATCAGTTCGTTCTTGTGCAATATATTTCATTTGCTTAATAGTCATTGCTTTCAATATTTTTTAAAAGTGCTTTTCAAGGTAATGAAGCGCTTTTGAATATTATTTCTGGCATAGAACTATTAAAAAATAATGGAAATAGGATTGATTAAATTTATATTCCATTTGTTGTATAATTTCTTCGATATGGCAGTGAAGAAATGAATATATTACAATAAATTTTCATGAATTCTTAATTAAACATGAAATTGAATATTGATCGTGCTAATAACAGCTAAGCTAACATATGTGTCAACAGTGTTACTTCTCTGTCATTTAAATTAAATTGAGATAAGCGTTAAAATTCAAGTGTAGTTCCATTTGTAATTGATAACAACCAATAGCAGCATCACATCGAGCAGGCAATTGCATGCTTATACAATTGAGTTAATCATTATAATGGGTGCAATTGCAAAATTGCATAATTAAATGAACTTAATGATTTTGTAGAATTAAATTAATCATCGAATAATTTTTATTTTTCAGCAATTTGTACAAAATAAAATTAGAAAATTGGATGATACTGAAGCATGATAAGATAATTTTAAAAATGTTCATTTTGTGCCACCTAAGGGATATAACATATTATAGGCAAACCTATGTTAGGATAAGGAATGAATGTACGGTTTGACAACTAAATCCTCAATTATCTCATCAACAATACTGTTTTCATCGATTTTACATGTCAAAATAATCTCTTTGACATCAATGCTATTTAACTAATTTTCTTACTTTTAAGAATTACCTGAAAATTGAAACCGAAATAGAACGAAATTTTCCTCAGAATTGCAAATGAATCATAAAGTTCGTCGGCAAAACTGAAATAGAAGTTAATAATGAAAAAATAATTAGGAATTAGCTCCTTAATATATACTCTGAAATCTAATTGTTAATTTAACAATTCTTTATTTACTAAAAATATGCTAATTTAGAATTATCATTTAAATTTGAAATTAAAAATTAGAATCCCTTTGAACAATTCGAAGTAAATTTCAAATTTTATTTTAGCAAAGGATAAGAGATTTAATAGAGAATTGAATATTTGAGTGGCTCTGAAATGAAAATGCCATAAATTTAGGTTCATTTGGAAATGATAAACCTTTGGAAGAGGTTAACAGACAGAACATTCATTGAGCAAAGCTGTCACGAAAAATCATATAAAGCTTTTGCAGCATCATTTTATTCCATATAAATGGATATCATTTATCAAACAAATCGAAATAGTTTTCATTAAAAAAAATTATTTTGGTATGTTTCTGAGGTGTTAATAGATGAAACTTCTACAAAACCTTAATGTGCAGCTATCGTTTGAATGAAATTCAACTTATTAGATTAAAGAAAAAGATTAGTAAATAGCATCTGGCATGTACTGATGTCAACTTTAGCTGAAAGAGAAAACATCGATATAATAATTTATTATTATAAATTGATATATTTATCAATGAAGATAACTTCGAGATTCCAATATGGAAATAGAAAAAAATAGTCCATATGATACAATTTAAAAAAAAGAGCGACAAAATTGATGAGAGTCGAAGTTTTAAAAAATAAAATAAACGTCGGTAAGTAACAAAGAGTTGGAAGAATAAAACTTTCTCAGGGTTGCTATTACTGAATGTTTTAGAATTTTTAACCGCAGTGCATATAAAAAAAGAAGAATCATGATACGGTTTGTTGATGGTAGCCTTTACTGCAATCCACTATAATCATCTGATTCATCTTGTTTTTCTCTTTTTGGATTTGTCGGAAAACATGAAACAAGACGACGATCACTACTTGAAAATTTTAACATCGAAAATTAATTCAAATCAACAATAAATGCAAATAGGGAATTTTTCGAAATTAAATGAATCGAATTGATAAAGCTTTGATCAATTTAATTAATTAATAAATTAGATAGTAAATTAATATCAATAGTGTATTGAAAAATTTTAGCTACCTCTGCAGATTCCTCTTTCATTAATCTCATCTTTTTGTTTTAGAGAAAAGATTAATCTTTCTGATCTGAATAAACTAATAGCTTCAAACTTCAAAATACAATTACCATATATCTTTAAGATCAAATCACTTAAAATATTTGCAAACAAATTTAAAATCTTAAATAAAAATGATTGAAAAAAGAAATAATGATAGAATGAAATGAATTTATTGAAAATATAAATTTGAAAGTATTAATTAATTAATCAATTAATGATTAAATTCTATTTTATCAAACCATTTGGTTTATTTTCCATTTTAATCATTGAAATAGCCATTCATTCTCATTTATTTCTCATACAATTTTCGCTATCTAAACGTTATTTTTAAAAAAAGAATTTCAAAAAAGTTATTTTCAATGGAAATTTCAATAAAAATATCCAAAAAATTTTAAATATAAATTTTTTGGAAAAGAAAAATAATAAAATTTTTGCAATATTTTTCATTTTTTTAAAATTATTTCTGAAGAAATTTTCAATAAAATTAAAAAATAAATTGAAATTTATAAAAAGTAAAATATCTTTTTCATTGATTAATTAAATAATTGTTTTAAAAATAACGAAAACAATTATAAACAATACATATTTGAATGTTAGAATTAATTACTTCTCTAATTGACAGAATAATTAATTTCGGATGAAAAAAAAAAACAAAATATATTTGGAGCACAAATATTTTTTGGAAAATTGAATGCTTAAATTGAACTAAATGATGCAACAAAATAAGTATAGATTGAAGAGCAACGTGGGTGGTAAGACACGTTCTTTGAAGTGCTAGATTTATCGCTTGCAGTTTCATAAAATTCAATTCGTTGGCTGACTATTTAAAAGCTACTTTCAACCTAAAATATTTCAAATTTTCTGTGCCTACCTACACAAACATCAAAGCAACGATCCCATTCACTTTTGAAATAGATCCATTAAATTTGATGCTAAATATTTTTTTCTCAAAGAATTTGAAATCACATAATCATTCCCACTATTGCATTTACAACACATCCTCACTTTATCATTTAACAATTTTTTCGGTAGCTTTTTTTTAAGCAATAATTTAACTGAGATTAATGATGACGAATTGTGTACACAAACATAATTAAGGATTTTATGAAAAACAATGAACAATGGATGGGACACTGAGTAGCAATTTAATTCTCAAATTGCTCTAAGAATAAAGCATCGATATTTTCAGTTTATTCATTTGTTTTTTCTTGTCAGTTGTAATTTAATCCTTTGAGAGTTTAAATATAAAGTTTAAATTCGTCTTCGTTTTCAGAAAACGAAAGTATAAAAGTCAAAAAATCTAAGTAAATTAAGCTTAAGCATGAAAATCTATTGAGCGGATTCTATCTAATGTTCTTCAGGTGAAAT